CTCCTATGGTCACGGTCTATCCGGATGATGGATCATGATGGATGTGGTGCCATCATCGTCAGGTTAGGATGACTAAGAATTTGCAGTCGAAGAAGGTCCCCGTCGTCAGGTACCTCAGACACTCTGATTCGTGGGGAGCAAGATGTCACCCCAGGGCACCTACCGCCTTAGGTAAGGAAGTGAACCTGGAAGGTGCCTTGGTGCGCTGCCCCTCAACTTGGAAGCACCTGCTGCTGCGGTTCGTTGATCGACCGATATCACTCGTGACCTGCAAAAATGAAGGACTCAAGACTCAGGAATCGTCGGTCACCAGACATCCAGAAAGCATGCCACCAATGACTGTGTTCAGCCTTTGATGCCCTTTGTTATCCTTTCCTCTGAATCCTTCAGGCTCCTCGAGTTCCTCAACCTCTTCCAGCTCCCATAGCTCCTCTCGCCCTGGCGCTCCTCGGCATTACCTCACACTGGGTACCTCACGCGCCACTTCTGACGCACATTCACCCCACCTTCCCGCTTGTCACCGCATGGGTAGCTGCGACCATCGCGACGACGATCCCTCGCTTCAACTGCCTGGCACCTCATCAGCCACTCGATTTACCAAGATAGTCCTTCACAAATGACATGGCACCAGACCTGAACTCTCTTCCTTCATCTCCTCCATCTCTGCCCATCCGATCCAGAATGTCATCCACCAACGGCGAAGCTCCTCTCCCTCCTGCGGACGGCGGTCCAGCTCCTCGTGGGGAGTCCCCCGCTGGCTCGCCGCGACGCCAGTCGACCTCGCTGCAAGCCGCAGCTACGTTGAATGCTAGCCTTCAAAACGAACCCTCTCGACGTGTGTAATCCCTACTGCATCGGAAAACACTCGCTAATTGAACCAGGCTCCTCCAGCGGTTCCGTATCTCGAAGTCGACAGTCACCCAACGCCGGCCGAAGACTGTCTACGGTTCTCATGAACCTGCAGCTTAACGATCCTTCTCTTCCCGGCCCGGGTGAGATGGTCGCAGATAACCAACACGGGCAGACTGGCGCCACAACCGCCAGTCCGCAGCCCATGACAACCTCGCCCATGATGGTTCCTGGTGGTGACCCCCATCACAATCGGGCGCCCAGTCTGGGAGAGCTCCACCAGGAGCTTGAAGCCGAGCAGGAAGCTCAAGTTGTATGTCTAGGTTTGCATCGAACTTGATACAAGCTGACACACACAGAACCGCCTCCTCCAGATGATCCGCCAGCAGCAGTTGCAGCTCCAGCAACTCCAAGCTGGCCAGGGACAGAACTCTTCCGCAGTCGAGGACTCGGCGATTGCTTCTGAGAGATCCAACCATGGAACCCCCATTTCGCAGCCGCCATCGGGCTTCGCTCCGCTGCCCTCCTCGGGCTCCTTCTCGCGATCCCCGGTTGTGCCCCATCCCCGAAGCTCCTTTGACATGGCAAGAGCAGATATCCAACGCCGCTCTCGAACCCCGAGTCGCGGCGCTTCTCCGAGATTGCGCTCAACATCTATAAGCGGCGACAGCGGCGAACAGTACACCCTCGGCGGTCGCGATGAAAGCGCCTTTTACCAGGCCGAGACTCAGATGCTGGTCCGAGAGAATCAGATGCTCCGTCACCGCATAAGAGATTTGGGTAAGTTTCTCGAGATGCGCCGGTGTTGTCGATGCTAATGGGGTATTTAGAGAAACAATTGACGGATCTGCTGCCTGCGACTAGCTCCCAAGGCAACCCCAGCGAGCCCGCCCACCCATCACACCTCAGAGCTGCCGCTGTCGGTGAGGATGTTGCGACGCCCTCGACCAGCGACGTGGCCAAGGAGGCGTGATTGAACTGTAACATTTATGAGGGTGGACGACCCCGGGATATCTGGCGTTTCGGAAAACTTGCTACATCTCACGAATGCAATAACATGGCTTAGGCGTTGGTCGGACGGGCTGGATGGGCTCTTCTCTGTGTTGCTATTAGCTCCAGTATCAATAATGGAGTGCAAACAATTTGAATGCGATGATGAAGCTGCTTCCGTGATTTAAAGTGGACCCCCCGCATGAGGCATACGGAGCTCCTTGATACGTTGCGTGACTCTGCATCGTCAACAGATCGCGACTCGTGCGCACATTAGCTTCAGGGCAGTTGGGAGGTTGTTTAACTGAAGCGCGACATCTTCGTTGCCATTTTCTTTGTCGAATCAAGCAAAAAACACGCAATATACAAAAGATTTTGGACGATCTGGGAATCGAACCCAGGACCTACCGCATGCTAAGCGGTCATTATACCACTAAACCAATCGCCCAACCTGTGATGTAATTCGGGGTGGATTCTGTCATTATGTAGCTGAGCGCTGCCACGGCAAGCTGCTCGCCAACTACACAGCAACAACGTCCATTGTATGCATCGTCACAGCCTCGAGGCGAGTGTCACGACAAGTAGTACGCGGCAAGTTTATTTGGCTTCGTCGGATGCGTGCGGCTCCCGGAAAGGTTAATGGCTAAACAGAGCCAGGCACCCATGCGATACCTAGGCTGGTTACACTCAATTACCGGACGATCACACTGTGAAGATATTATTTGTATTGTTGCTCTGTTGGCTATCTGTTGGCCATGACTCTCGGTGAGCCGTGCTGACCCCACAACCTTTTCTATGCCAGCATGAGGAATATCCAGCCCCAGCTCCGACCACGTCGTGGCTCTAAAACAAACGTATGCCGTTGCTATGGGTTGCTTTAGGGAAAAGCTTCCCAACGGCATCGACTTGCTGATCAAGGCCCCGGGGTGTTTCGCATTGTTCAGTGATCTTATCGCTCCCAAACGCTGCTTCTGTGCCCGAATTGATCTTCTTCCTGCTCTCGAGCATATATCTAACGTACTCATTTCTGAGCTCGTCATGTCGAGTCGAGCCAACACCTTGGTCCTTGTCGTAGAAATAAAGATGCCGTCGGTGTTGGCTACTCTTCCTCTCAACAATCTCACCAAAGGTCCCCCGACCAAGCCGTATGAGCTCGCCATATCGAGTCGTCGAGACCTATAAGTTGCCGAGCTTATGTAGCCATACGCCAGCTATATACATATCCGCCAGAATACTCCCACTACAGCCAGTGGCCCTTTTACGAGGTCATCGATATCCCTGGTGACGGAATCGGCGGGCGTACACCTCTCTGAACTGTACCCAAATGCCAAGCTGTTGTCAGGAAGGTGATGTTTGGCCTTTTTAGAGCCTTGGCATTCGAAGCAGTTTCCTGCGATGTGATTCTTGGGAATAGTCACGACGAACGAATCTTGGCCGCGATCGTTTGGCCGCCCAGCTTGAGAGGCCCAGAACGCCAAGTCAACGCTGGTCCGGCCGCTGATGCAGTATCGGCTGCTTTCTATAGGGGCGACGCCAGCGAGCGGAGGCTGCTGGGAAAGCCAACGGGCGAGCACTTGGTCCTCAGTGTCGTCCGAGCCACATACACCCAAGGCGCTGCTTGGTTCCTTATCGGCCCCAGAGATGATATAGATGCACGCAGGCATGCCTCTCTACTCCGGCCCGTTCAAGCGAAGCCGGCTAGGAACACTGACGGCCCTTCGACGGGGAAACGATGAACGAGTTGTGACCCTGCGATGAATGCGATTTGACAAGCTGTAGTTGGTGCATCGATTCCATCACGCCTTCCATGGGGCTTCGATCCTGGGTCTACGTCTGCCGTCTTGGAGGGGCTAGTACAACGCTTAGAGATGTGAGGGAGGCGCAGCTGAGATGCGCGGATCCCATGATCGACGTGGTATGAAGACGGTCCCGGGGACGGTCTGCGTCTTTGTAGAGATGAGGCGCGAGGATTCTCACCCTCGCAAGGGGCCCTTTGTCGAAATGACGGAACTCGCGGTAATAAGCCCATCAACGTGCCTTTCGCGAGCGGTGCAGACAATCATAGTGACTATCTTTACCTGGCGCCTGGTCTCGATGAGTCGTACGTCTGTAGCGTTCCTGGTTACAGGCCTGTTGACTTGTAGGGCACGGGAAGAACAGCCGCGAGTCAGCTCTTATAAAGAGTTGTTTATCTTGGAGTTAGCCACAGTAACGGGGTTACGACTATCATAAACGCTTAGTTGTGCCTGTGATATCTTTAGCTAAGGCGTTTTCTGGGATGGCTATGGCGTGGGATTATCTCGACCGCGTTTTGCTCTGTTCGCGGGAAGACTTATTCCTAACGTCAAGGAATCCTGACCACGCGACATCCGTTCACGGAGGCTTGTGACCTGGTGATATGTTGTCCACTAATATCTAGTACTATGGCCAGGTAGAATAGTTGCGGGATGACAACGAGTCGAACGCCCGCGGGTCTTAGTGGTGAATGCGGTGGCGGGCCCCTGGCCGAATGCAACGTATAAGTGAGGAAAGGCCAATCAGTCTATTATACACTACGAGAGATGTGTGCTTAATGGTGTGATGCTGTGTGAGAAGCCGATATGGGGGGAGATCTCCATGGGTTATACACCTGGGCTGGCCAGGATGAAGTCCCATGGACCCTCTCATTTCTCAAGTGAGATGTGAAAATGTGTATGAGAAGGTGCCACACGGTCACGTTTGGCAAGTGAGTGTCAAGTATTTGTTGGGTACGGCGATGAGCTAATCACTCTGCAGCTTTCTCATAAACACGCCTACCCTTGAGTCCTAATCATTACGCTGCTATGTCTTCACCCCGATAATGAGCACCTTTGACTAAATAAAGCTAACTGATGCCGTCTAGATCGCCAAACTTGAATACATACGACCGGAATAGACGAGACAAACGAAGTACACACATAATCGCACACGGTTTTCACAAGAAACAAGTCTTATTATCAACGCCCATACACCTATCTAACCACGGTTGGTCTCAATTACGGTGGTCACGACGGCGCGACGGCACGACGTTTACTGCACGATGTCACGCCCACAGTGGCCTCCCTACGACGGCAAAACGCCCACGACGGTCTACTCCACGGTGTTAGGAACGCCTACAAGGGAATCCTCTACCACGCCACGGTCTAGTCCACGATTATGGCCCCTTCATCTTCACCCTCAACTTCTTCGACGTCTTCGATTTCTTCGTCTTGTATCCCCAGGCGTAGACACACCCTCATTGTGATATCGTCGAGCCTCTGCCATTGAAGCTCTTCGGCAGTGACCGCAGTGTGCTGCAATCGCAGACTGTCCGTCTTGCTCTTCATGACCTTCTTCAGCTCGGTCTCCCACTGCTGAAGCAGTCTGTCCAGCGTAAGCTTGTGCTCGTCGTATTCACGAAATAGCTTCACAATATCCCCCCTAGCGCTGTCAATCGCCTTGAGGTTGTCCGGAAACACGCGTCTCTGCTCAAGGTCGGCGAGGGAAAGCTGAATGTTTGTGCTGAAATAGGGCCGCACACACAACACTTCGAATTCCATGTGACGCATGGTTGAGGTCCCGTCTTTGCCCCTTTGCCCGCCGCCTTCGGCCACGTTCAAGCCATCCTGTAAATAGTTGGATCGCGCCAATGAGATGACGAGCCTTTCTGCTATGGGCACAATCGGGGTTCCCAGGTCTTAAGTATCACTCTCGACACCGTCTTGGGCACCAGCCCAGAAGCCTTGATGGCCGAAAGAAGAAGTATCAACGGCGTATTGATCGAGGTCGGGTCCAGTGTGCGCTTGCCTCCAAGGGCATTGTTGGCCGCGTAAACGGGCACCCGGGTACCAAGGTCACCGGAGCATCCGACATACTGCATGCCTTGGATCTGATGCACACTGAATTGACGAGGGTCCGTAGCCGCACGCTGTCTGCGCTAGAGCGCCTTCACCAAGTTATTAGCCACAAACAAGTCGGCAGAGTTGCTAATCAGACGTGTCTTGTTGGTCGCCGAGGTCCCAAATGCATCATAAAAGGCATATGCCTTCTTGAAGAGCATCCTCTCAGCAATTTCAGCCTGCTGACCATGTAGAGTTCGCAAGTTGATCCTGTATGCCTTGATATAATCCTTCAATTCGGTGATGACGCGGGTTATCTCGTCGTAACCGAGGAACTTCCCACCTCGATTTTCAATGTATACGTCAATGGCATAGATGCCCTGTCTTTTTGCCGGGTAGCAACTCGCGTCTCGTGAGTTCACAGTGTCAAATGCTAGGGTGCCCTGGATCAGAGACCTCAGCAGCTTCCGCGGAATCGCATGCAGGAGCATCAACGAATTCCTGCCATGCCTGAAGTCGTGGTCGAGCTGGTCAAACGTGCTGTTCTGCGAAGGAGTAAGCTGCCAGATATCTTTGGCAATGTCTGGGAACATGAGAGATATCTTATAGAGTGTCTTGATCACAGCAAGAGATTCAAGATCACTGCCGTCTGCGGCTCATGTGGGCATAAGCACCACTATCTCTGCGACAGTCTGATCCCGGATGAGTCAGAATTTGTTTTGGGCTGTCCATTATGCAACACAACTGCTCATAACTGGGATGACTGCAAGCGCTCTGGAGAGCTCGGTTGGGTGCACCAGTACGAGATCGTGTTCTACCGCTGCATCAACATGCCCCCCATCCGCTCCCGGAAGCCTTGGATCATGTGGGAGAAGGAAATAATTGATCAGGGGCTCTCATCTTGGGACCTTCAGGGAGTGTATCCTTGGACTTTGGCTTTTGTCGAGGAATTGAAGCAGTCGGAGCGTTTCTGGGTTAACTTCGACCACAAGCTTTGGAAGAAGGAGAGAGAAAAGTTGTCCAAGGATCCGGCAACACACCGCTACAGTGCTGAGCAGTTCATCGACTACGCCCCATTGTTAGAGGAAAGGAGTGCCTCCAGTGAGGATAATATCCGCAACAGCAGAAACACGTTGCAGATCGGTTTTAATGCGGCGGTCCACAACACCCAGACGTCGCAGGACGTTGCGAACGCGGTCGCCACGTCCCCGTTGGCTCCAAACGAGAACAAGTCAAAGGGCACACTGGTGTCTCCGTCCGGTGCCACGGATCTTGACGTCGCGTAGGGCAACCCGTCGGTTGACGTTGTGACCCCGACGCCGACCACGGCTGAAGGAGGCCTTTCCACTGGGATCAAAGAGCTGAGAGTTCTCCCGGCCCCCCTGGCTCAGAGAGACTCCGCTTTCGATATGACTTCCGTGACGAACGTGGCCCCCGTGGCGCAAGACACACACGCAAAGGCCTCATTCTATGGGGATTTGATAGACTACACCGATGACGAACGTGAGCATGCATTGACGACGGCGTTGAAGTTGTCAGACCTTAAGTTACGACGAAGAAGTAGAAAAATTCGAATAAAAAGTCCTCGGACAAGACGTTACCAGACGATACAACGGAGGACGACACGTCAGAAGGCGAGGAGTCAGAGAGCGGCAAGTCAGCGGACGAGGAGTCACTGACCGGGACTGCGATTGCGAGAAGCCCCTTGTGAGAAGACATGGATCCATTCTTTCGGAGGCTTAGGTGAGCATTGGGCATATGGGGAGCCCACTGGGGCGGGGATGAGCATTGAAAGGCATCAGGAGCCCGCTGAGAGGCATGGATGAGCACACCAAGGGGCATGAGTGAGCCCCCCGACTGGGAGGCGTGGGTAGGCATTCACCGGGTGGGTAGTGCAATCGAATTGAATTTCCATTATGGAATACTTTTCCTGTGAAATGTGCTTTCGTTGCCCGTGACCTAGTTGAATTTGTCGTAGTCTACCCGGCGGCTGCTCGGATGCTCGAGTCGGCGGCTGTCAGAAACAATGGGGCCGGACCGATCCGAGGTGACTACACACGGAGGCCACCGAAGTGGGGGCCGGACCTTGCTCTCCATTCACAAGGAGGCAAGACAAAGCACGCTACCTCACCGATTCGTCTTTTTTCGCCTTTACACAAACACACAACCGCCTTTTTGTACGTATCCAAAACTCTTCACTGGACCTTTTGCTAACACCACTAGAAAATGTCGTCGCAAAATTCCGGTTCATCGAGACAGAGAGACCGCGATGACCGCGTCAGCAGTCGAGAATTCAAACAGACGATCTCATCGGCGATGGGGAACAGAGGCGCGAGCGATCCCGCTCACCATTTTCAACCAACAAATGACGTCGGCGCAAGACCTCGAGCAGGCCCGCCGTTGGCTGACTCGACGTCGGTCTGGAATAGGGAACCACCGGGTTCAGCGTGACAAAGGACGCTGACCATCACGGCGCGATTGTTAACCTTACTCGATCCGACGAGGTATTTGTGATGAGTGGCCCGCGCGATCAGCTGCACGCCATGATTGATGGGGTGCTTGGCGAGAACGACGGCCAACACATAATTGGCATCCTGAAAATGCGTTCAGCGGCCGGATAGCGGCCGGATCATCGGCAGAAAGACCTATTCCACCAAAGACCGCGGGTTCCGGGCCGTGTGTCTCAGAGAGTCCAACACGCGAGACTGTGAAATTTGGTGGAGACTGAATGTGGGAAAGGGAGTCAACGCCCGACATCAGGCCCCGCGACGTTTGAGGAGCTCGTTCATTCGGAGCAAGTGTCCCAGCTCCTGTGACAGAAGCCCGCCCGCCTGTTGTTTGTTCACGCCGTCTCGCGACCAGGAAAGAAGTGGGTGTATGAGGACGACGGTAAGGAGGCTCATCGTAGCTTCATCCGCGTCGCACGAGAGGCGGGGTCAGGTCCGCTGAACTTGGGGCATGAGATCCAGAAGCGAGCCGTGGTCAACCAGCTATCCGGTGATTTGGTCAAACGCCTGCTCGTGCGCCCGTCGAGTTTTATCCGGATCGAGTACCCCCCCGGCCGCCGACGAAAGGCAGACGTTGGACTCGATCTAGACTTTCCAGGTTGAGGCCGCGTCCTCTGAACAAGTCCCGTTCGTCCTGATTGCCGCTGTGTGTTACAGGAACGAGTCGACACCGGTTAGAATCCGCCTCTTCACTGGCCGAGGTGTTGAATTCCCCCCTCATTACAAGGCAACCTATAATGGTTCCGACTGGGAGATTGGCGCCGTTGGTCACACATACTTTATGCTCCATGTGCAGAGTAATATCCAGGTCACCAAGACCATGCCGCACATGCACAACATCATCACTGGTCGCGTTTCTGGCACGCATAAGCATGTGGTGGGAGACGAGAAAAGGCACAGATTACCCAGGAATGAAGAGGACCACTTGGTGGTTGCTAAGCGCCGCAGGGCTGAGTGAGCGGCAACAGTCGCAGGTCATCATAGACGCAACGTGGGAGGAATAGACGACAACAGTCGTAGGGCATTATTGCTATGAATGAGAGGTGACAACGGTCACATGGAATTTGGGAAGGCGACAACAGTCGCGAGGATACTCAATGCATTGGTTTTGGTGCAAAAATGTGCGATTGTTGTGAGATTGGCCCAGTGACCTTGTCGATAAAATGTTCCTGACATCGAAGTCAGCAATAGCTGCATCAACTTTAGACCTAGCGATGTGGGGTTTCCTGGTAAGTATTCTACGTAACGACCGACCACCTTAGAATCAATTGGCTGCAGTCTACGAGACTTGCCCTATCGTGTCGATTGATGAGTGTGAATTAAATGTCGAACTCGAGTGTTAGTTTATTTCCAATAGACAAGGCAAGTGAGACCTGCATGCCGCACTTACTTACTACAACATAATAATGCCGCCTTGTACTCGCCGAAAGACAGCAGCGAGGCATGACGACAAAACGGGGGGTTGCAAAAAGAATAAACTCCCCGGGGCATCAAATAAACAAGATACACCCGGCACGTTTTAACCCCGGACCAACCAAAGTGCTGCAAACGGATATATACGATGACCGACTAATGACTAGGTATCTATTTACAGCCTGCGCAGGTCGGCACACATTACCACGCTGGACCCTCGGACGCAGTGATTTTAATATTGTTTTTTTTGTTCTCTCGTTCTCTTGTTCTTACTCTATTCGCTGTATCTGCGACATTGCAGGCAAAAAGGGGACCCCTTGTCTGAGAACGCCCTTGCGCGGACACACACAGGCATCTCAGCTTGACAGGCCGGGGGAAGAAAAAAGGACCGAGGTGAAGAGGCCACGCCTCAGACTGCAAAAATATACAAGGAAGCCCGGCCTATATTCCTTTCCCCCAGGGTATCGCCGTTTTTTCCCAGCCACTTTCCAACTCCTCGCATGTCGTGAAAAGACGCGATTGTGATGCTTCCCACCATCCAGCTCTTCGCCCCATGTATAGATCCTCAACACAGATACAAGATATTAAAAAATAAAAATAAAAATGGACCCGCACCAGCCTTGTCCGCCCGCGACGGAGCAGGATACACGGTGGCGCCGAGTGCGTTTGATAATAGGGTGCCGACGAGCCGACCTACATCGATCGACCCGCGGTAGAAGGGTATTTGTAGACAAAAAGACAAAAAAAGAAAGAAATCTCTCGAGCAGATGGGGCTCGTGGCCGAGGGGGCGTGCCCTCTCTAAATGCCGTCGGTGGATACCGGGCAACCGCCTAGCATCTTGTTCAAACAGGATCCTCCAGAAGGGTATCGAAGCGTAAAATGGTGACAGATATGGAAATGGCGTCTATGTCGTCAATCAGTTCCAGCCGAGAGAGTTCTCAGCGGCAACGGGGGCCGAGATGTAGGCCGTCCTAGCGGAGTTGCCGGGCCCGCTTCCCCTCGTACGACCGCTGCCGTGGCTTTCGCGGCCACCGGCGGCTCCGTAGTTGGAGAAGTCCTGGCTCATCAGGGCACCGCCCATCATGGGCGGGCTGCCAGCACCAGTGTAGCGCATCTCGGATGAGGTGAGGGAGCTGGCGCGGCGGTGGGCCTGCTTCTTCTGCTTGTAGCGGCGGGCAATAATGAACATGGCAGCACCATACGCAGCAGCAACACCCACAGCCCCGATACCGATGGCGGCGGCAGTACCTTTTTGAATGGGAGACTGGTTGGAGCCGTCGTTACCGGTGCCGAAGGGGTCATTGGGGTTGTTGGGGGTGGAGGTAGACGACGATCCGTCTCCGCCCGTGGAAGTGCCGTCATCCTCCTGGCCAGGAATGATCTCAATGGCAGGGTTGATATTCTGAGTGAGGTTGTAGACAAGCTGATCGGGGTTGTTGTAGATGGCCGAGTTGGGAATCTTGATGTCCATGCGCAGGGTGTCGACCATGCTCTTGGGGTAGTAGAACTTGGCGAGCGTGGTGATGTAGCCGAGAGTCTGGGACGTGTCGTAAGGGACGAGCTTGGTCATCTGGATCTGGCTAATGTCCAGGCCAGCAGCATCGGCCAAAGCCTTGGGCAGGCAGGTGAAGATCTGAGCAGCAGCGTTGGGGTTCTTGCTGACGTGCTGGTAGTTCTCACCGTGCAGGAAACCAATCTGGAGGAGAATGGTGTCCTTGGGCTGCGCGACGTTCGGGTCCGGGCCGCTAATGACCTTGGGAAGGTCAGAGGGCAGGGGAATGGTCGACGTCGGGGCAAGGGCCTCTGTGGGCGTGCTGAGCGAAGTGGACTGCTCGACAATGATGGTGCTGGGCAACCAAGACTCCGAGTCAGTGATGGTGGCCGTGGCAGGGATGCTCGTGATGATGGGAGTCGTCGTAGGCGGCGGCACAGTGACAGTAGGCGTGGTCTCGATCAAGGTCTCCGAGAGAACAGTGGTGTTCACGGGAAGAGTGGTGGTCGCGGCAGGCTCAGTAGTCAGAGACTCAGTAGTAGTGGGGACGACGTTGGTGGCCGTGGCGGTCTCGTTGGCGACGGAGGTCGACGAGAGGGTGGAAGGTGTTACCGTGGGTGCCACAGTCAAGCTGTCCGTCTGAGTCGAGTTGCTGATGGTGGTGGAAGCCGTAGGCAGCTGAGACAAGGTCGGAAGCTGCGTGGTAGTCGGGAAGGTCTCAGTAGAGGTAGTGTTCACGGGGATCTCGACAGAGCCGGTAGCCGTGGTCGTCGGCACAGAGATGGCAGTGCTGTCAGTGATGGTGACCGGAGCGCTGGTGGTAGTCTGTCCGGCGGGGACCTCGGTCGAGGTGGCGTTGACAACATCGGAAGCGGGCAGAGCGGTCGTGGAGACAGACACGGGGACCTCGGTGGAGGAGGTGATGTTGACGGCGGGCTCGCTGCTCACAACGGGGAGGCTGCTGCTGGTGGGCTCGGTAGAGATCTCAACAGAGGTCGTGGCGTTCGCGACGGGCTCAGTGGGTGCCGGGAGCGAGGTGGTGGGCACGGCAGAGGCCTCAGCGGAGGAGGTGACGTTGGCAACAGGCTCAGTCGGGATGGGAAGTCTCGTCGAGGTCGGGTCCGTGGGTGCCGGGAGCGCCGTAGGCGTTGGGATGACAACATCGGACGTCGAGGCAACAGGGGCCTCGGACGACGTCGCGTTGGCGATAGGCTCGGTGAGGTTCGTGGGAACGGCAACCTGGCTGGAGACGAAGGAGACAATGGGGTCCAGCGGGTTGGTGGGCTTGCTGCTCTCAGAGACGGCGGCAGATGTGGTCTCAGTGGAGGCACCAGAGGTCACCTGAACGGCGGCAGAAGTGGTGGTCTCAACGGGAAGGACGACGGAGCTCTGGGATGACGAAACGACGGGCTCGGTCGCGTTGACGTTGGGAACCGCGCTGGTAGTCTCGGGGTTCGCAGCCACTGAAGAACGCTGAGCTTGCTCGGCAGAGGTGGTAGCCTGGGTGCTGGAAGTCTCGGACACGACGCCGGTGGGAGCCAGGAGGATACCAGATGAAGATGCGGCCGTGGTAGCCTCGCTCGATGCAGCCTGAGCGCTCGTGGCAGCTTGCGTCGAAGAAACGGCCTCAGCGGTCGAGTTGGTGACCTCGACGTTTGTGGGAGCAGCGGAGCTAGGGACGGCCTCGGTGGTAGGCACGGCAGACGACGCCTCGGCGGTAGTGGTTGCCTGGGCAGAGGTGGCAGCTGCCGAGGATTGAACGGCCTCCGTGGTGGAAGCCTGCGCAGATGACTGAGCGGCTTCAGAGGTGGTCGCAGCAGCAGAAGACTGGGCAGCCTCGGAAGTGGTGGCGGCAGCAGATGACTGAGCGGCCTCGGAGGTGCTGGCAGCAGCAGACGTCTGAACGGACTCGACAGCGGTGGTCGCGGCCGCGGAGGATTGAGCAGCCTCGGAAGAGGTCGCGGCGGCGCTCGACTGAACGGCGGCAGTGGTGGTCTCGGGGGTCGTCGCTGTGGGCTGGGTGGTTGCGGCAGCCTGCGAGGTGGAGGCGGCTTCGCTGGATACTGTCGAGGTTTCGCTGGTCGTCGGCAGAACGGTAACCGGGGGCAGAGTAGATGTGGGCACGGCGGAGCTTGTCGTCTCAGTCGTCTCTGTCGGGTCGAAGATGACGGTGCTCGAAATGATCACAGTCGTCACTCTCCCATCGGGGAGGGTCGAGACTGTGGTGGAGATTGTCGTCGGGGGTGCGGATTCGGGGGCCGAGGAGATTGTGGAAGTCGGCAACGGCGTGGGAACGGTCGACGATGAGCCAAAGAGGGAGTCCGAAAGGCTGGTGAGGATGTCACCAAATGTCGAGCTGATGGAGGCCGATGCGGTGGACTGGAAAGTGGTGCTCTCGGGGGCCGGAGGGAACGTCTCTTGTCTCGTACTCGTCGAGTTCACAAACTGTCGTTTAACGTGACGCGGAAAGTAAATCTTGGGTCGTTCCTGTTCGGCGCAGGCAGTAGAGGCCAGGCCGAGGGCGGCGGCCAGAAGAGCAGTCTTTGCGTGCATGGTTTCGTTTCCCGATTATCGTATATTCAATTGAAGGTCTTTAGCGATTGTAATGATACCAATATTGGTGTTTAGTAGATGGAGGTCTCCATTCCGTGTTAGTAAGTGCTTCGATGCTCGCAAGACTCCTTGGCAACTCACTTTGTCAGGGTGTTATAGAACGAATGTACTTGACAAGGAATTGTCAATGAGCGTGATGGCGTTTGGGATTTTGGGTGTGTGAAATGAGTGACTCGACGAGATATCGTCGGATTGAATTGGGCGAGGACGTCTATTGATCCGTCACGTCGGCTGAGATTATGGCAGTTCCCGTTGTCGAATGCATGGGGAAACTGGCAGGTTGTCGGCGCGGAACCTCGACGACGATCTTCAAATGCGTCCAAAGCACATAAGGGGGGCGGTTAGATCGGCTCGACGGCAAAAAAAGACCCCTTTCACGGCGTGAGGAGGCGCAGGTTGAGAATCGGAGAGGAGGTTCGACGTCGCCGGATGAATTCTTGACGGAGGCGAGGGGATGTCGAAATTCGACTGTCGAAGAGACGAGGTCGGGAGAGAGGTGGGGGCGACAAGAGGAGAGCGAGCGTGAGGAGTAAAAGGGAAGGGAAGGGAAGAGAGAAAAAAGCGAGGGTGGTGTAAAGGAATGGAAGGGGACGCAAGAAGGAATGTGGATGGACGAGGCAGCGAAGGATGGGAGATTGATTGATTGATGGAAACACACGACAAGGGACGAGGGACGAGAGACCGGGGGGGTTGATCAGGACGGACGGGGGTGGCAGCAGAAAGACCAAGAGAACCAAGAGAGCGAGAGTAGAGGGAGGAGTCCAGGAGGAGTGTGGTGAGGGCTCAGGTCGACCGTCAGGGAGGGAGGGGACGAGATGGGATGGGCCAGCATGGACCGGGCGGGTGGTGATGGGATGGCGGGTACGAAGTCCAAGGTATCTTATCGGCTATTTTACGTGTGAAGGACACTCGTGGGTAAGTACCTGATCCTCGTACTCCGTACACAGGTACCTTGGTCCAGGTTGATCGCGGTGCTGAAGGGGGGAGAAGGGACGGGAGCTGGCTGCTGGCTGCTGGAATGGCAGAGGAACCAAGCCGGGCACTGCTGGGCTGTACTGCGCGAAGGCAATTAACATGTCCAGGCACAAACTCGAGGGTGTGCAAGGGGGTGTGTGGTACTTTCCTGCAGTGACCAGGGCAATAAGGTACTTGTCTTAGCTAAGACGTCCACAAGTAGTGCACCTCAGGTACGGGATAAGGTACATTTGGCTCGATTTTATTTTTTCCTCTTCCCGTCGTCCCCAAGCGTCAACCCCCTTTTTTCGCAAGTTCACTACACCAACAGTCTACCTACTACCCTTCATGAGGCCCTGCAGGTGAGTCAAGGCCCAGCTGGCACAAGTGCACGACTTGCCTACCTACACTATTCGTAAGAATAATTACTGGTCCTTACTTTGTGCACACACGCAGGCGGCATGGCTTGACCTGTGTGGTACGACGACTGTGGTGCCTCTCCGGCCCGTCATCTTATTACTCTCACCACACCTGAAGACCGCCGTCGAGTACCTTTCCTATGCCAGCTAGCCCCAGCCGGTACGAGTTATGCGTATCCTTAGTGTACGAAGTATTGCATCCCCGTCAGCGCCCACGACCGAGAGGGACAGCCGACGTCGCCCGACCATTACGCAACTCCCCTGGGCACAGCAAAGTCAGTCTGGGTCTTACTGACTCTGACTGGGTCCTGAGGGCTGACGGACACTTCTTTGGAGCCAAACGGATGCCATTTTGAGGATTGAGACCGACGAGTCTCGTAAAAGCCTCACCTACACTGACAATGCACATGGACGGCGGGTTGTCGTCCGAGAGGCATCTCTCCTCTTCGTTGCATACGCAGTATACACCAGCCAACCCTGAACAGAGCTGGGACGAAATTGTTGGATTGGGTTCGTGTAGAATGGACGATTGCCCAGAGACGAGATGAAAGACAAGGCGACTCGACCGTCACGGCTGAACTCTCGTCCCAGCCCAACAAACGGCTGGAACGCTGCACTTCTGCAGCATTGCGGCGTATAGCCTCTACCAATGGGTTTGTTTAGTCAAGGCGAGGATCCCCATTGTGAGCAAAGCGCGTAGACCCGGGATCTCCCTCCCCCCGAATCTTGCAGACGTGAACGTGTTGTATTATTTTTGGCAAACAGACTGGCCTCTCCGACTTTTAGACTCAAGAGACCGACTTGGACTGTGTTGTTGGACGGTGCCGCATCGTGCGCATCTGTTTCCCTATTTGATAGTACCCTGGACTCGATGTCGTCCAGAATAGTCAAGTGGAAGCCAAACTCTCGACTCTCACCGGAAAACGCTAACATTGACGACGGTGCATTGATGAGTGTTGACCATGTGTTGCCCCTGTCCGCCATCACTGCCGGACGTCCACGGTGGGACGGGTGGGAAAATCTCACGAAATGACATTGCTGTTCTGGTCATGGTCTACCGTCGAGGTCCCTCTGTCATGGCGTGCTCGTCCGTGTGCCTGTTCTAGACTCTGGTGGTTGTTGGTCGGAACGGTCAGCTCTCAGGTCGACGGCCAGGGGAACGAGTCACTAGCCAGTACAAGACTCCAACGTGCGGTACTCCGTACCTGATCACTGGCCAACGCCGGTAGTCCGCACACGATATTCGTACAGCACCAAGCTGGCAAGCAGCAGCCCGGGCACTCATGGTCCGCCTTATTGCAGTGCACACCGTAATGGTCTGGAGAGCACACCATTCCGTAGGAGGGCGGGAAGGCAAGGTGGTGTGGAGAAAACGTAGGCTCACCGTTCCTGTGCTGTGCCGTGCCGTGCTGTGCTGTATGTACCGTACAAAGTCCACCACAGCCGTTGCTGGCAAGCAAACTCGTCAGACGGTGGTTTGTTGCCCGCGTTGCATTGCTTGGAGCTGGCTGCTGGCTGAGCGGCACTGGAAGTTGAGGTGCGGACGATGTGCAAGATGGTGAGCAGCCGCTGCCCGCAGGAAATGGAGAGAGAGAGGGGCTTAGCTTTTTCGGGGCACGGGCTAAAAATGGGCAGAAATGGTTGCCGCCGGGTACGTACCGCGCAGCTTTAGATGATGTGAGGTGGGTCGAAAGTGGGGTAGAGGAGACCCAGGCCCTTGCCCGCCCTCGTCAATATTGAATACTTGCTTTTTGGGTGGTTACTTCTGCAAAGAAGCAAGTCCCTTTTCAAGGTCCTCCCATCGGCCTTGCTGTCAACTTTGGCCCTGTTCGTCCTCTGCCGGGGCTTGTTGCTCCTTCGAGGCCGTGCCAGGTGGGTCGGTGAACAGGGGTAAATCTGACAAGCGAGCGCAGATCATTGGCCAAATCTCGGTGATGCGACGCTACGGGCAATTTTGCGCCGTTCAACCCCTGCAGACCCTTGCCGGGGGAGGTCACTGGGCAAGACTGGGGGGCGCTCCTCCTTCCCAGATTCCTTCTCCAGGCTTTTCCAGGTGGACAGTCACGCAGTGGGCACTTTCTCTGGGCCACTGGCAACTTGCAAAGACTGGGCAGGTGCGTGGTCACTGGTGGGCAACTGCCAATGCGGGCTATTCCCTCCCTGGTCTCACCTTTCCAAGGCGCGTTCCCTTCCGTGGCCTTGCACAAACCTGCACCAATGCATGCACACATCGGCCCTCCAGCTGTCCAACGAGCACAAACACACCAGAGTCAGAGCTCAGAACCACCAACGGCGCAGATCCATCATCCCCCTCCAATTCTTTGCACAAACATGGATCCGTGGGGCTAGCTGACGAGATGGACAGTCCAGACCGAGTCCCGCCGTTGATCGTTGCCCTCGAGAGACCCGAGTATGATTGACGACACTTGGTAACCGTACGCATACTATGTACAGATGTGTCCTGGAAGAACCCCAACCCGGACGAAATGATAATCGGAGGCAATCTGCATTTACAACATCCTCTTGTGGAAATCCCTCGTCAACCTCCGCCCTGCAACGCTCCAACGCTAGCAGCCCACGTCTTGTGACTGCTCTAGGGTTGCAGGTGGTCCCCAGGTCCATGGCAACGCTGGACACACAGACAACTTGACAAGCGACGCTTTCGACCTGTCTCCTTGGCCGGGACTGTACGAATAAAGTCAAGAGTCGTCCAACTTGACAGTATTGCGGGGCGTAGAGATACGTTGCGTTGCTGCCGTTGCAACCCGGCATCACGCCTAAATTGATGTTTATGAGCATAATAGATTGCGCTTGCCGTGCTCGGGAGTTGATGTGCTCAGGCCGCCCGCCACCTGCAGTCAAGAATCAATAATGCTGTACAAAGTAGCCCTCACCAGAGTCACCACTCGCGTAGCGTCCAATACTCCGATTCGCATGGCACCATTCGACAATCTGGACCACTACCATCGTACAGAGAGTAAACTCGACTCTCTCATCGCTCTCGACGTTTCATCAGAGTCGAATGCCAATGATACAACCGCCATACCAGTGCGCCTCGATTGGCATCTCAACGGCGGGTCGACGACACGCGCTTTGTGTTCAGCACGCTTTCAAGTTCCAGCAAGCGGCGGTTGTTGGTCCTCGATCGGGCCATAGGACGAAGCGGTACAAAGCGGATACTCGATCACAGGCCCAATACCCGCTTATTCGAGGTACCGCTCGCCAGCAGGGCTACCGTTGGAGCGTCCTGATCTCGTCCCTTTCCCGTCGGCGCCATCCCTGCTCGACTCCCACCTTCCCCATGCGATAGTGTGGATGGCTGAGAACACGCGCCCAATGGGAGCCGACGCCGGTGTCGTTAGCTTGTCTCGAATGTCCCGTTGATGGACGTGGGCTTGAGCCTTTAATCATAACCGCACCAACGCACGCCACAGACGAGATTTGGAGCTCTAGCGAGACGACGATGCACAACGACCCAGGCTCTGGGAAAATCAATACCATCAACACTGAGTCTCGATTTCGTGCACAAGTCGAAAACCTTCTCGATGCCCATGTCTTCGTACAGATGGCACGAGGGCGCAGCTGCGCAGGGCTGGCGGAAACCTGCTAACTGGGTGTTATTGTCTCAGTACCGGCAAACCGGCCGCCGTCAATATCTCTGCGACTCGTCAAGTGGGGTTGGTCTCCGCCGATCAGCCAGTCACCCAAAGCTTTGATCAGAACGCACTGGGGGGCACACAAGCCCAGCGAATGGTCTCGCCCTTTCTGATCAGCCATCGAGGATCACCCTGCAACGTCCATTGATGGTGTGTTTCTCCACGTGGGTAAAGAGCAAGCAAGAAAAAATCGAAGCTTTTTTGCTGTTTTATCCCTCTCTTTGGTTTTCAGTCTCTGCGGGTTCGCGCACCGGGATACATGCCGGGCCAGTTGGATTGTTTACAGTTACACGCGAGTTGCACACGCGACTCCTTGCTCAGGACCGCAGGAACACTCAGACGTCAGCCTTGGGACAACTTAATCGGCACAAAAGAGCCCCATCATCTGTTCGAGACGGAGTACTGGCTTTCGAAGGGCTTCGATGGCCGTGACACGAATGCTCTATGCGACTCTGTGGAACTCAAGCCCGGGGCTCGGAATCTGGTGCCCAGGCCCATGTTCAGTTCTCGTCCTCCCCCAGTGTCGTCACAGGTGCAGGACAGTGATTGAATCCTGAAGCAATGCCAGGAGAGGAGGGAATGAGGGTCGGTGGAACAGCGCTCCTGAATACACGAGAGATCGAGGCTGTGCAGCACTCGCATGCCTTGTCTCTCTGCTCTTCTGCCACAGCCATGTCCCGTTCCCATTCCTCGCCTATCCGCAAGTTGCCGTCCGGCCCGTCTCGTGTTGTGTCGCGTCACATCGTCGAGCTTCAAGCGGCGGTGTCATCAACGTGCCAGAGTGTCTGTTCCATCGGCACCCGTCACTCTAGAAGCCATTGGACGGGAGCCACAGCAAGCATAGAAATGAAGTCACATCAATTGCTGCTTCACTGGCGGCACGGTATCCGTACGCGGTACGCCTCTGAAGACTGAAGCTGCCGCTCCGGCCCCCGAGTCCCGGTGGCGGTTCCCGCTCCAACGGCATCGACTGTGTCTGCCAACTTCGCGTGCCACCATCGCTAGCGAGCGGACCGGGCTGAGTCAAAATAGCACCAAGACATGCGCTATCGTTGGTGCGTCAGGTACTAAAGGCACGGCGTGAGCGTGGCTCTCGAGCTAACTTGAATAGCTACGTGCCCTCATTCCCAATCTCCAGGGAAAGCTTCCAGTCCAAAAGTGACGAATTTCAGTTCCTGGCGGCTTCCAGGGAGACGCTATGACCACGGCATCAAGAGTTCGAGACCCCTTCGTCACCTCCAGCGTCTCGGCTACCCACGCAACGCTGTGTCTTGCTTCGAAATCGATTCGAAATCGCCTTCTCCTTTGTTTAGTGCGACCTGACGGCTGCTGCCCTCTCCCTCCCTCTACGGATAGGCTCCCGAGGCTTTGCCGCACCTGAGAATGTGGGCTACACACCCTGAAACCCTGGTAACATGCTGGACAGCTGGAAAATCGAATTTGGGACCCATTGCAGCATTTTCCAAGGTGTTTCAAGATGTGCTGGGGAGTGCTTGTCAGTCTCCCTCTGAAAAGTGAAAGGGGGGGTTGTTTACCTGCCGATCATTCTATTGCCTGCAGCTTCATATTACCGACCAATGTCTTCCGTTCCAAGCAGCCAAATCTTCGCTGTATTTGCCATATTATGATCCTCACGGGTGTTTGGCCATGTCTCTGGGGTGTGCGCCGCAGCCGTTCGCAGAATTCACGGGAATCTGATGCAGCCCCAGGTAAGATTGACTTGACATGAGATCAGGACTAACATGACGACCCAGGCATTCTCACGTATCGAGTCTTCGTCTCGTATCTTTCTGCACGTGCTCCCGCCCGCGAAGCACCGCAGAGTCGACTCGCGGGTGATGCTGCACAGGTGTCATGTTTGAGATGTCGGGATGAACTCTGCGGCAGCCTCATCCCCAACACTGGCTAAAAGCCAACACGGCTCTAACTGTGTGTTTCAAAATGACAGCAGAGTACGATGATGGAATGTGATGGGAATGAGGGATTCCGTTGCAGGCTCATCCAGAGGGCTGCTGTGGCACCGGACGCTTCAGCCACGTGTTTCCCTGTCGCCTACGTGCGATGATTTCGTACTCGGCCAGGCCACTGATTTCTTCTGCGACGCTCTGTTCAGCCTGTGGCATCGAGGATTCCAGGGGTAGGGATCTCATCATCTCATAGTGTTCGTTGGGCACTCTACATCTTGCGACGCTCGTGTCAGGTATGGTATGCACTCTGAATTCGAGGCGCCAACGGATGCCATGGCCGATTCGTCAGAGAGCCGGCACCGAGAGGAAGGTGGCATACGCCGGAGCCTCCGGTAGGTGTGGAGATTGACGGAGCGGACGGCAGGTCGGCTCAGACCGTAGTGCCGGTACCTGCCCGGCCGAGTGTCATTTCAAAGACTACCGGAGCCTCATTGCCTTCACGTCGACAAAGAGTCAACGACTGCCATGTGCCAACCGTGACAATGAGAACAGATACGCTTCTGACTGCTCACGGTGCTCTGTCGACGCCCTTTATGGCATTTCAGGTTTGTGGGCAAGCTGTGGTTATTGATGTATTGAGCAGTTCATCAGGATCATGTGACGCGTGACAGAAATACATGTCATTCGTCTCTCGATCATAAAAAAACCCGCTGCATTCGATCATGGTGCACCGGCTTGATGCGAAGAAGGAGCAAACAATGTGCAGATCGGACGGTATTGGGAAGCATGAAGATATATACCTTGTCGGAGCTGCAGCCGCCGTGTCCAGCATCCATTACACGGCTTGCGAAAGCAGTCATTGGCGAGAATTCGCTGCCCTGGAAACTTCATCCGGCTTGCTTTCTGCAATGCATGGACTCTTTCTGTCTTCTCACCTTGACGACTGCTCGGGACCGGGTCTGCAGGAAGTGTTCTGCCGCGAGGCCGTGGAGCAGCTCGGGATCCTGTCAGCCTGGCCCTAAATTGGCGACGATGAATGGCGGGCTCTTCGCAAGCATAACCAGAACGGTATTGCGAAAGCCGCAAAGATGCATATGCATATGGCAGACGGATATGAGCAGTCACATTGTGTGCCCGCCGCCCAAGACCAAAGACCAAAGACCAAGGAGCATTTGCGTCGAGTTTGACGCCTCCACGAGAAAGCCCCAGCCGACGAAATCCACCTCGTCTTTTCTTTTTCTGCCGTTCGTGTCCCGCGACGTGCCTTTTCTCGCGGGATATGATGGAGGTGGTTGGCAGACGCAGTGGGGATCCGCTTCCTGTCATTTTCGACGTCCACCATCATTTTGTGACAGGGCTGGGTGGCGCCGTGGACTCCAACGACCGTATACAAACCGGCCGAGTGGCCGAGAGACATGCTGACGAACAACGTCTTGAGTGCAGTTGGATGCCGACGACGAAATCTCAGGCTGGCTTTGGACGTTGACGAGTGGCGGCGGCGGCGGCAGCGAGTGACACCAGGTTGGTTGGACGAGCGTTGATCTGCGAATAGCACGATGGGATGGAGGGGCAACGCAGGGCCCGGAGGTGAGAACTGGGGCAAGCCGCAAAGCCGCAAAGCCGCAACCCCTCGTTCGCAGGCTCGCTGCAGGACGACGTATTAGCGCTTGGACGCTAGTCTGCCCGAGGGGCAATTCCCGCACGTCGCGATGCAGCCTTTTGACAATGGGGACGACGGGAGGTGGGCTTGACTGAAGCGGAGAAATCGGGGGGAGACGCAAGTTTCGCAATAGCAATACTGCGTAGGCGGCGGCGAGGACGGCGGACGGTGGTGATGATGACCAGTCAGAAGCGATGGAAAGCCGGCTGAACCATGGATCTCAGCGGCGGGATCAGCGCGAGCGGCCGAATCTCGACGGCTAGCTACGTTTGGGGCTTTTCCAGACGTGGGAGAGCCGGATTGACGGTATGTGCTTGGGCGGTGAGATGATGTGACTCGCATCTGAGGTACCTTGCTTGAAGGTGAGCAACACGGATAAGGTTGACGTATCGACGCAAGCCACCGCGTGGGTGAACTGTTGACCTTTGGTATGATTGCCAGGGGTGCGTGGGAGAGTTGCGGTAGCCGTTGCCAACTTTTTGTGTGATTTTCTAATCATTATTTTGAGCATGTAGTGAAAGGTATCCCCAGTGCTGTGTTGCGCTGATACAAACACACAAAGCTTCTTGCAGGTACACGCGCACAAGCATTCAACCAGTCCTTGGCCGGGTACTTTACCTAGGTCAGGAACCTCGGAAAGGTTACGCGCAAGGTGAAGCGAGGACGACCGGGAGTTGTTGGACGCTCGAGGTTAAACTCTGGTGGTTGAGGGTGTTGAGGAACTGTCCGCTGCCGCCCGCGCCTACTGTTCTGACAGGCCGCCCTGACGTAAGGCACAGCCGGCTGTTTGGCGGGGTCGGCAAGGTACCTCTGCTCGCTGGGCGGGGACCTTTGGCTTCGGGATCGCCCATCACGGCGGACTCTGTTTCTTGGTAACGGTACCCAGGCGAGGAGTAGACTTTTCGGCGCGACACAGGCAAAAGGTTACAGCGTTTACAAGTCTCCGCAACCAAGAGCCCGGGTTCGTCATCGGGTCCCTTGGCTGGGGCGGCAAGTACCTTTTTTCCCTTCCATTTGGTTTGAGCACCTCACCGACGCAACCGCAATTCGAGGCGATGCGCGCGAGTCGACCTCCCCCCCGTTCCTCTGCTTGTCGCAATGCCTGGTTCGGTTCGATATCCCCTCGTTTCTCAGTACCGGTAAACCTAGGTAGGATGTAAGGTAGATAGATACATGACATAGATACATTGGGTGGTCCTTGCCTCACCGTAAGGTACCATAAGGTGCTCCTTCCCATCGCAAGGTGACGAAACTATGTAGAGCGCCAGGCTGCATTCTGCCCCCTCCAAACTACTGGACCATTGCCCTCTGCGATTTTACCCCTCCATCCTCTGTCAACCCCACTTGGATTCCCTCTACCTGCTTTTGCTGCCCTTGTCTTTAAAGCAGTAGCTTCCCTCAGCTTCCTTCTCTGCAATTCTTTCCCACCAACATCACCACCACAAACACACAATTCAATCACTTCACAAATCACAACCGACAAAATGGGTGTTACCAAGACGACTCACCAGTCCGGCTCCGGCGCCATCCCCAAGCCCGGCCAGACTGTCACCATTGAGTACACTGGCTTCCTCAAGGATACCTCCCAGCCCGACAACAAGGGCAAGAAGTGAGCAAACAACCCCTCCACCCCGCCCGTCTCTGTTCCCTCGCATGTTATGCTAACGAGTGCTCAATTGCCAGGTTCGACTCCTCGGTCGGCCGCGGCGACTTTGTCACCAGAATTGGTGTCGGCCAGGTCATCAAGGGTATGTCTGCACCGAGACGCTTACCTACGTTCTCCCTCCCTTCCTCTCCTCCTCGGGCTTCTTCGAATACATACACGATGCTGGTGATGCGGAATTGGATGCTTACTGACGCATGAATGCAGGCTGGGATGAGGGTGTCACTCAGATGAACGTCGGCGAGAAGGCTACTCTCGACATCACCAGGTAAGAAACATCTGTCCTACAGTCCTCAGTGGAGGAATGGCTTTGTACAGCGTACGGCAAGACAATGAACTTGGCTAACGTGTGTTTTGCAGTGACTTCGCTTATGGCGAGCGGTAAGCAATACTCACCATCAACGGTGCCCAGGGCCATGCCAGGCATCTGTTGCTACCATGACGACCAATTGATGCTAATTATGTTCCCCAACAGCGGCTTCACCGGCCACATTCCCCCCAACGCCGACCTCATCTTGTAAGTTGACCCGGGAGATGACTGCTGTTTGTCAGCACCAAGGCGTCGTTGGCTAACCACATCCCATAGCGACGTTGAGCTCAAGAAGGTCCAGTAAAGCATCAAAGCTTTACTTCGTTTCGCGCAAGTGGTTAGCTGGAAAGATGATATGGAGTAGGCCCACGCAGCCTATCTTAGAGGGTGGATAGTACAGTTCCCAGAACATGCTCGAGCCCAAATATACTCTCTTCAACTACCGCATAACAACGCTTTTACTGTCAATTAGTGTGAATGTTTCCGCGTGTCTGCCGGATCGCGTGCGCGACAGAGTCTGGACGGTGCCCACGTCACACGGCATGTGGTGCTGGTGATACACGTACTCATGTGATCTTGATCCTGCTACATCGTTAATTCTTTCCAACGAATGCCCTGATGTAACCGTGTATGAGTGCTCGTCAGTAACTATGAAGGAGCGCAGATATAACGTCCATGGACTATGACATGTCTGCGCATGGTGTGCTGTCTAAGTGAAAAGAAGATTTAGAACATGATATGCGCCATTCCACATGCGTATCAGACTCTCCAGTCATAAAAAAAATCAAAATCATGATGGTAGACGTCTTGATTTTCATTTGAGGAGTTCAACGAGTCTGTACGTGTTGGTGGACGTTACATTTGATTTTATTTGCTGTTTAAATCGATATCTTAATTCCTGTCACTAACCAGTGTCAACATCTTTATGTTGCTAGAATCAACCTCCTTGGGCAATATAGTAGTATATTGTAGACACCAATATGACCCTTACGAAGAAACAGCATGAAGAACCTCTGCGCTCAAAGACCTACTCAAACCAAAGAACCAAGCTGGGACTCACGTTCAGGTCGACTTCAAGTGGTGATGGAACTCGGTAGATTCTCGGAGAAACTGGCACACAGTAATTTTCTACCGTGCGCAAAGGAGTCGCCTACCACGATACATGATGGCACACATGCAATTTACTGGAAGAAATGTATACACAGTACAGACGACACTGCCTCACCTTCGCTGAGGCCGTCTTAGGCTGTACCTTATTCCTTACTGCTGAATGCATTGAGGGGCAATGTTTAGAAATCGCCCAGTGGAGCTTCCCTCCACCTCACAGCGCCAGCCAGCCTGCATCGCCCGCCTTACGTGAGGTAACCCAGGCGCACCCCTGCCCCTCGTCGACACCTCCACATCCGGCTCCACGACCACCTTTACATCACCAGAAACGAGGCTGCTCTTTCTTCCTGCACAACCACATCAACTGCAACACGACGCTTCTTGCCTGGTGCATTTATTCCCTTCACCTCTCCCACGAAACGCAGCGACACTCTCTCTGCAACCTTGACGAACGACGAGAGAACCAACCGCGGTTCCACTATACGAACACACGAACACACACGTCTTTGTTTGGTGGGGTTGGAAGCTTCATCGTCCCACCCGCCGCCCGTGTTTCCCTCCACGTCATAGCAAACGACGTTCCGGTCCGGCATCGTCAAGCTGGGGAAGCGCAAACTCTCCAACGGGGAGACACCTGATCCCAATAAGAAAACCATGGCTGTACGTTGCGCTCGCCGTATCGCCGCCGTCTACATACCCCGCATCGTCCATGCATCGTCAACGCATCGCGCCGCTGACTTGGAGACTCCCTAGGATAAGAAGCTACCGGAGGTCGACCTGGTGACCCGCATGCAGGTCGACGACTCCGTTGTCGGAAACACCGAGATCGATGAGTCGCTCTACAGTCGCCAGCTCTATGTGCTGGGCCACGAGGCCATGAAGCGCATGGGCGCTTCCAACATCCTCATTGTCGGTCTCAAGGGCCTGGGTGTCGAGATCGCCAAGAACATTGCCCTTGCCGGCGTCAAGAGCCTCACACTCTACGACCCCGGTCTGGTCGCCCTCGCCGACCTGTCCTCACAGTTCTTCCTGCACCCCGAGGATGTGGGCAAGCCCAGAGACGAGGTCACCGCCCCGAGAGTCGCCGAGTTGAACGCATACACCCCCGTCAAGGTCCACCAGTCGTCAAGGTGAGTTAGGATGCCCTCCCATGAGACTACGCTAACACACATAGCCTGGGCGAGAACCTCTCCCAGTTTGACAAGTACCAGGTCGTCGTCCTGACCAGCCTGCCGCTGAAGCTGCAAGCGCTGATTGGCGACTACTGCCACTCCAAGGGCATCTACGTCGTGGCCGCCGATACGTTTGGTCTTTTCGGTTCGATTTTCTGCGATTTCGGCGCCGACTTCACCGTCATCGACCCGACCGGCGAGGCACCCTTGACCGGCATCATTGCGGGCATCGACGAGGAGGGCCTGGTTTCGGCGCTCGACGAGACCCGCCACGGCCTCGAGGACGGCGACTATGTCACCTTTTCAGAAATCGAGGGCATGGAGAAGCTCAACGGAGGCGAGCCGCGAAAGATCACCGTCAAGGGCCCGTATACCTTTTCCATCGGCGACGTTTCCGGCCTCGGCCAGTATGTCCGCGGCGGCCTGTACCAGCAGGTCAAGATGCCCAAGAAGATCAACTTCAAGAGCTTCTCTGCCGCGCTCAAGGAGCCCGAATTCATGATTTCAGACTTTGCAAAGTTCGACCGCCCCCAGCAGCTTCACCTCGGTTTCCAGGCCCTGCACGCCTTTGTGGAGAGCCAGGGCCGTTTCCCGAACCCCCTGGACGACACGGATGCGACTGTGATTTTGCGCTCCGCCGAGGCGTTTGCCAAGGCAGAGGGCGTCGAGGTGGAGTTTGACGAGAAGCTCCTCAAGGAGCTCAGTTACCAGTCCCTTGGTGACCTGAATGCCATGGCTGCCCTGTTTGGCGGAATCGCGGCGCAGGAGATCCTCAAGGCCGTCTCGGGCAAGTTCCAGCCCATCCAGCAGTGGATGTACTTTGACTCGCTCGAGTCTTTGCCAACCAGCTCCGCTCGCACCGCCGAGCTGTGCAAGCCTCTCGGCACCCGCTACGACGGCCAGATTGTCGTCTTCGGCCGCGAGTACCAGGAGAAGATTGCCAACCTGCGGCAATTCCTCGTTGGTGCCGGCGCCATTGGCTGTGAGATGCTCAAGAACTGGGCCATGATTGGTCTCGGAACCGGTCCCAAGGGCCAGATCACCGTCACCGACATGGACTCTATCGAGAAGAGCAACCTGAACCGTCAGTTCCTGTTCCGCCCCAAGGACGTTGGCAAGATGAAGAGTGACTGCGCTGCCGAGGCTGTGCAGGCGATGAACCCCGACCTGGACGGCCATATTGTGTGCCTCAAGGATCGCGTGAGTCCCGATACGGAGGAGACCTTCAACGAGGAGTTCTGGGGCAACCTCGATGGCGTCACCAACGCGCTGGACAACGTCGAGGCCAGAACGTACGTCGACCGCCGCTGTGTCTTCTTCCGCAAGCCCCTCCTTGAGAGCGGAACGCTCGGAACCAAGGGCAACACCCAAGTCGTCCTCCCCCATCTTACCGAGTCGTACTCCTCATCGCAGGACCCCCCTGAGAAGGAGTTCCCCATGTGCACCGTCAAGAGCTTCCCCAACAAGATTGAGCACACGATTGCGTGGTCCAAGGACCACATGTTTGAGAACCTCTTTGTCACGTCTCCTTCCACGGTCAACCTGTACCTGACGCAGCCCAACTACATTGAGGGCACGCTGAAGCAGGGTGGTAGCGCCAAGCTGACGCTCGAGACGCTCCGCGACTACCTCACAACGGACCGCCCGCGGACCTTTGAGGACTGCGTTGCGTGGGCGCGCATTCTCTTTGAGAAGGAGTTCAACAACAAGATCCAGCAGCTTCTGCACAACTTCCCCAAGGACTCGACGACGTCGACCGGTACCCCTTTCTGGTCTGGCCCCAAGCGCGCGCCCGAGCCGCTCAAGTTTGACACCAACAACCCGACACACTTTGCGTTTGTCGTGGCGGCCGCCAACCTGCACGCCTTCAACTACAACATCAAGTCGCCTGGCACCTCCAAGGACATTTACCTGCGCGAGCTCGACAACATTATCGTACCCGAGTTCTCACCCGCCGAGGGTGTCAAGATTCAGGCCAACGACAGCGATCCTGTGAGTTTATAGTCTATGTAAACATGCAAATACTGACAGACCTAGGACCCCAACGCCGACGCGGGCAGCTCCTTTGACGACAACGACGAGCTGCAGAAGCTCATCAGCAGCCTCCCTTCGCCTAACGAGCTTGCCGGTTTCCAACTGCAGCCTGTGGACTTTGAAAAGGACGACGACTCGAACCACCACATTGACTTCATCACGGCCTGCAGTAACCTGCGCGCGGCCAACTACAAGATTGAGCAGGCTGACCGCCACAAGACCAAGTTCATTGCCGGCAAGATCATCCCGGCGATTGCGACGACAACGGCGCTCGTTACGGGCTTGGTGATTCTGGAGTTGTACAAGGTCATTGATGGCAAGGACGACATTGAGCAGTACAAGAACGGTTTCATCAACCTGGCGCTGCCGTTTTTCGGCTTCAGCGAGCCCATTGCCAGCCCCAAGGTGGAGTTCAAGGGCCCCAACGGCATTGTCAAGTTGGACAAGATCTGGGACCGCTTCGAGGTCAACGACATCACACTCAAGGAGCTGTTGGAGCACTTTGAGAAGCAGGGCCTCACCATCTCCATGCTCAGCTCCGGCGTCAGCTTGTTGTACGCCAGCTTCTTCCCTCCGGCCAAGCTTAAGGACCGCCAGAACCTGAAGCTGAGCCAGCTCGTTGAGACGGTGTCCAAAAAGCCCGTGCCGGCTCACCAGAAGGAGGTCATTTTCGAGATGGTGGCCGAGGACGTGGACGGCGAGGACGTTGAGGTTCCCTACATCAAGATGAAGATGGCGTAAGTGGGGCCGTGTGCAATTGATGATATCTGCCAGAACTGGCGAGGCTAGAAGCGCAGGGTTTTAGAATGGCCAGAAACTGTGGTCAGCCAAATAGGCAATAGGATCACGGAATAGAGCTCTTCACTGTTACTATGCGCGTACTATGTGTGTTGGTGGTTTTCCTAAATCGAGGGCGTTACTAAGCCCGCAGCCGCTAACGCAGACATTTGTAAGCACCCCTGTCGCTGGCGGCTCAGCGTGGGGAAGCGCTGGGTTTACGTCACCATTAGCAATTGCTTAGAATCGTCAAGCTGCCTTAGCGTAGCCGCGGGGTCTGCGAGTCAACTGTGTAAAGGTAAGCTGCAGCTGTAGATTTGAAGTGTTTATGAGAGCAGTGAGCGACAAATCAACTCGTTCGATCCACTGCTTTGGAAAGTGAACCCTGGGCCTAAGTGGACTGCCCGCGCGGTTGATTGTAGTTTGGGCTGTTGGCTTTGTCGACCTTATCTAGACTATCGGCGTATAAGAGGCTCATCCGCCCACCCCGCACCTTCAGTCATAGTGCTCGTCAACGACAGAGCACTTCATGAACACTGGTACCCCTGCACTCACTCGTCTCACGAGATCTCTCACGTCGACGACACGGAGAACGTTGTACTTGCATAACCACCAACCCGCCCGCGCATTCTCATCCGTCCCGCGTTTTGGTCAAGAAAGTGACGCGTCTGTAAAGTTTCCCACAAGCGCTGTACGGAATCAACCAAGCAAAATGGTGTGTACCCACAGGCTCTGGTGACGATGAAGACAAAAGGAAAACAGACTGAAGAGACTGACGACACAACAGGCCGGCAAAGTCACAGACTGGGTGAAGCCCAACGACAAGTCGGGCGAGTTCAAGCGTCAGCAGAGCTCGTTCCGCAACTTCATCTCGCGCGAGGAGGGGGCCAAGTTTGCGCCTGAGAAGGGGCGATATCATCTCTACGTCAGCTATGCGTGTCCTTGGGTGAGTTGTTTCTGTTTCTCACTCATTTCTCTCACTCATCGAGAGTGTTGATGAGAATGAGAGAAAGAGGGGAAAAAGGATGGGTTCGTCTGACGCGTGAATAGGCTTGCCGGACGTTGATCACACGCCAGCTTAAGGGTCTCGAGGACTTTATTAGCTATTCTGTTGTTCATTGGCATCTTGGCGAGAAGGGTAGGTCACCTTTTTGTTTTCCCTCTCCTTACTCAGCACGCATCCCATCTCGATGATCTCTCGCGCTTATTGGGCTGGAACACCCAACAAAAGAAAACCCCCCTTACTTCAGAAAATAAGACTAACAAAACAGGCTGGCGGTTCGTGACAAGCGACGAAAAGGACGTCCCCGGAGCCCACGTCGTGCCCGACCCCGTCCCGGGCCACGAGTCCTACACTCACCTCCGCGACCTCTACTTCGAGTCGGAGCCGGGCTACGAGGGCCGCTTCACGGTGCCCGTCCTCTACGACACCAAGCTCAAGACGATTGTCAGCAACGAGAGCAGCGAGATCATCCGCATGCTCTACACGGAGGTGTGTCATGACCCGTTCACCATGAACTATGATGACCCCTGAGCACCACAACTAACACACCCAGTTCGACGACCTCCTCGACGAACAATACCGCAACGTCAACCCCTACCCCGAGTCCCTCCGCGCGCAAATCGACGAGGCAAACGAGTGGACGTACGACAAGATCAACAACGGCGTCTACAAGTCCGGCTTCGCCACCACGCAGGAGGCCTACGAGCGCAACGTCGTCGCCCTGTTCGAGGCGCTCGACAAAACGGAGGCGCACCTAAAGAGCACGGCGGCCGAGGGGCCGTATTACTTTGGCAAGGAGATTACCGAGGCCGACATCAGGCTGTGAGTGAACGTCTCTGTACATCAGTCTTGATGTTTTTGCTAACGTGATAACGACAGCTACGTAACCATCATCCGCTTTGATGTAAGCCTCACCCCCCCCAACGCAACCATGATCTGGTGCTAACAAAACAGCCCGTCTACGTGCAGCACTTCAAGTGCAACATCCGCGACATCCGCTCCGGGTACCCCCTCATCCACAAATGGATGCGCAACCTGTACTGGAACGTGCCGGCCTTCAAGGACACGACCCAGTTCGAGCACATCAAGTGGCACTACACAAAGAGCCACACCCAGATCAACCCCTTCTCCATCAGCCCCGTCGGCCCTCTGCCGCACATTCTGCCCCTGGACGAGGAGGTGCCGGCCGCTAGCAAGTAGTTCACACAATACAGATCAAATACAAACTGTCTTCGATAATGAGGTTATATATACTCTGACGCGAATGCTAAAACTCCAGTCATCCGCCATGCGGTGTCCCAAACCAAATAACAACATCTGTCTGCCCGGGCGACTTGATCCAGTATTATGCTAAATTCCATTTTATATTTCAAACATGCTCCTCCCGGGCCCCCGTCAAACTAAATGAGATCCGTCGACGCAAAGTCGGCCTTTTTGGTGTCCCCAATCCAGAAATGATGCATTAAATTAGTATAAATTGATCACAATTGGCCAGACAACAGCGCCTCGGTTGCTATGAAGAGTTAGCACGTGCTTTACATATCACAGACAAAAGACATACCACTGTTGATGTATTGGCGCTTGGCATCGAGGGGAACGCCGAAGCGGCGCTCCAGCTCCTGCTTGATACCCTTCTTCGTGACGGTCATGAGGTCGGCCGTCCGCAGGATCTCGCGGATCTCGGCCAGGAGGGCATCGTCGCTGGGCAGGCCCACCATGTCCTCGGGGGAGAAGAACTGGGAGCCGCCAAACTGGCTGTTGCGGTTGCCGCCGGCGTCCGAGGCAGCGAGCGACATGCGCGAGTGGTTGCGCTGCTCGTAGCCCATGCCGGGGGCCCTCGGGGGTGCGTATCCGCCGGCAATGGAGCCGGGACGGCTGTGGTAGCCGTACTCGGAGACGGGGACCTGGCCCTTTGTAGCGTAGCTGTAGCCAGAGACCTCGGAGCGGGCGTCCTCGCGGACCGTCTGGGCGTCCCAGAGTTCGGCCTGGTACTCCTCCCACTTCTTCTTGGGGATGACGGAGGGGTCGAACTTGCCCTCGTCGGAAATGACAATCTTCTTGCCCGACTCGCCGGCAATGACACGCGTGTTACCCCAGTTGAAGTCGTCCATGTGCCAGAAGGCGTACAGGGGCAGGGCGAAACTGAAGACGGGAATGGCCAGGATGTACAGAATCATCCAGCCAATCATCTCCCACTTGCGGCGAACAATAAAGATGATGGCCTGCAGACCGTAAATGGCACCAAGCATGATGAAAGCCGTGACCGGCACCACGCTGGGGTTCAGGGCGACCGTGACGATCAGGTAGATGATGTAGGCGACGACGACGGGCTGGACGACGGTGGACAGCAAGTCGATGAAAACGATGAAACGCATAGAGAAACAGCAGAAACCGCAAAGCTGGGACATGGGGATGAGCTCCATGAGGTTGTGGACGGTCGAGTTAATCCAGCGACGTCTCTGCGAGAGGAAGACGGACCAGGAGTCGGGCGCAATGGTGTAGGCGTGGGCGCGGTTAGTGTACTTTGTCTTGTACGAGTTGTGGAACTTGAGCAGCAGCGTCGTCAGGTATCGATCCTCACCGAGATGGAGCAGGTTCTTCATGTGCAGCGTGTCGACACGGATGGTTGAGTAGGCTTCGACGACTTCGCGACTGACAAACAGGGGCTTGCCGCTCTCGGAGGCGCGGATGCGGTACATGGAGAAACAACCGGGCAAACAGGTGACACTGCCAAATAGACTCTCAAAGGCCTTTGTCAAGTTGTGAGAAATCCAGTATTCGTAGACCTGAATCATGGTGACGAACGAGGCCTTTGCGTTGGTCAGCGCCGTCTCACCGCACACGGCGATCAGGCGGGTGTCGTTGAGGAAGGCGGCGACCATGCGGGTGGCGGAATCGGGTGCGACGACGGTATCGGCATCGATCTGGAACATGAACTCGTAGAACGTCGGGTTGACACCGATGATGTTGCGGATTTGGTGGTACATTTCAAGCTCGAGAGGGCTCATGGGCAGGTTGTAGTGGACGCGGTTGAGGAAACGCATAATGACCATCTGGGAATCACGCTTGCCACGGTTACCGGGGCGGGACACCTCGGACGGCTTGCCAATCTTGACGACAACCATGAACGGCACAATGTGGCCCTGGACTTCGTACAGACCCGAGTAGATCTTGCCCATGTTGTGCTGCTTCTGACCTTCACCGAGAGACTCGAAGCTGAGGGGCTCGGGGTCGACGGTATCGGAAACACCCAGAATGTCGAGCACGATGCGCGGCGTCGGCTTGTCGTTACCCTGACCAATAATCATACCGTCGCAGATAACGACAAGGAGCTTGCGCTTATCATCGTAGTGCATTCTGGCAACGGAATCAATGGCACGACGAAGAGCCTCCTCGTCTTCCGTGTAGGCGGGAATCTGGCACATGACAAACTTGTCGAGGTTCTCTGGCACGTTCTTTCCACCGAATTGGAGCGCGGCCAAGAACTTGAATCCGAGAATGGCACAGAGGATGATGGAGATGGCCAGGACGAGATACTCGGCAAACTGGCAGCGGACCGAGTTACGCGTGTCAACGTCGCCGACGTAAAACAGGTTGTCGAGACACGTCTTCATGCGCTTCTTGGCAGCGGTGTCGAGGGACAGCTTCTCCCAGAGGTCCGTGAGGTCGGTTCCCGACTTGCCCTGGAACAACTGCACGACGGCGTCGTCCATGAAACTTGTGAGGGAGGAATCGTCGGGAACGGACTCGCCCGCCTTGGCTTGCATCTTGAGACCACCGTTCATGTACTGGGTGAGGTCGTACACGCGGCCGCCCATGTAGGCAATGTTCTGCTGCTTGTTGGCGAGCGTCTTGATATACTGGGGCGAGTAGCCGACGGTGCCCTTCTTGTAGTTGGACTTGAGCATAATCATCTGCTCATAGTACCAATCGGGACGGCTGTCATTGGTGAAGTAACGGAAGTCGTGGTACTTGAAGTTGAGGTCGGTCGACGTGAGCTGCGCGGACCCCGTGAGATTGGTGTTGCGGTAGTCCAGAGTGACGTGAGGGTCGACGGAGCCGTCCTTGCCCTGGCACAGAGCGTTGACCTGGACGGGGAACAGAGTGCTGATATCCTTGCCAGCGTAGTTCTTGAGCTGCTTGTTGGTGACGTACGGCGGGTAGTGGCGAGGAGCGTAGGCACCCAGGTCAATGACCACGCCGCGGATGGCGACGTAGGCCGAGTTGTCGTCCTGGCCGTCGTTGGAGGAGAGTTCCTCGGCACTATAGACGTGTTGGGTGGGGCAGATGAGCTTGGGGAATACGACGATGAAGAAGGCGGCAAAGAGACAGAAGAGCCAGATGAGCAGGTTGATGGCGAACTTTTCTCTCCACGCCACGCGAATGTCCTTGCGGGGCATGCGGCCCATCTTGCGGATGGCAATGTCCGGCACGAACCAGGTCATGAGGTAGACCATGAATACCCACCGCTTACGGCTGGCGCTGTCCTTGAACTCTTCAACCTCCTCGAGGTTCTTCTCGTTGCCGCGCTCGGCCATCTGCTCGCGCGTGTCGAGGTTCTTGAACATGTCACCGCCGCCAAACGCGGATACGCCAGCTTCCGAACGGGCATCGGAGCCGTCCTGGCCGCCAAAGTAGCCGTTCTTGCCCTTCTCGCCGTACAGCAGAGGCGTGCCTCCGGCAGAGAGTAGGCGCTCCTTGGAGGCGGCAAAGGGGGTGTCTTGGGGAGTCAGGCCGTCGCCGTTGTCGGATGGTAGGGCATAGCGGCCAGTGGCCGAGGCGCCATCCGACAGCTGGGCGACCTCCATCCAGCATCGCTCACTGAGGAAGACACCGGTCGATCCGATGCGGACCTCATTGGCGGGCCAGTGCCTGTCTTCGACGACGAGCTCGACACGCTCCCTCTCGGTGCCGACGAGGATGGTGTCCGAGTCGGCAAGGCCGAGGAACTCACCAAAGGGGAGGAACAAACTAAAGTCTGCCGAACGCAGGCGCTGGCTGATCTCGGCAATACCAAACGTCTGCACCTGGGTGCGGACGCATTTGCTGTCAAATTGATTGGCAATGCGTCGGTCGTTGGGCTTCAGGCAGAAGACAAAGTACGAGTTGCTGCTAGGGTCGGCAACAGACTTGGTGACGTTGTCCAAGGACGCGAGGAATTGGCCAGAGGCGCCCTGCTCCGAGGCCTGCAGCTTGTTGCCGCCCGACTGCGAGTTGCCCTCGCTGAGTCTGTCTAGCTCGTCCTGGGCGGCCTCGTCCTGCTGCTGCTGGTACTGCTGGATGCGGCGCTGGTTGCGAGCGGTCCTGGTGGTCTTGCGGGACATGACACTGGGCGCTCTCGTAGGCTTGGAGCTGATGGTGGCCTGCATGACCGTCGACCTCTCCTTGGGGTGGGTGACGGTCTTGAGGGCCTCCTGGCCAAAGAGGCGGGCGACGAACTCGCTCTTGGTGGAGTTGATCATGTTGAGCAGATCACCGGAAATGACCTCGCCGTTCTCTTCGATGATGTCCTTGACGGGGTAGTCGACCTCGCCGGCAAAGTGCTTGACGGTGAAGAGGGCATTCGTGTTCTCGGTGTAAAAGTTGCTGCCGGGCAGTCTGGTGTTGGCGGAGCCGGGGGTGATGGCCGGGTTCTTGCCCTCGAAGCGCTTGCGCAGACTCTCGAGGAACTGCACGTCGGTGCGGTTCCTGCGCGTCTGGTCGTCGAGGATGCTGAGCAAGCCGTTTCCAGGCTTGAGCAGACCCCTGACGGCGTCCGAGTTGTCAAAGTAGCTCGTGGCCGCGACGCTGACCTCCTCGTTCTCCAGCATGTCTGCCTTGCGGTCGAAGAAGTTTTGCAGGGTGAGGTTGTAGAGGGCCTCGCAGGCGGCGTTGTTGAGCAGCTGGTCGAGCGCCGAGTGAGTGGACGCTTGCTGGGCGAAGCCGGGGAAGTCGATAATGGAAATGGTGTTGGCAACGCTGTCCTCGGGCGCGCAGAGTCTCTGGTTGATGGACTCAACAATGTAGGCCACCAAGAGCGAGTAAAGAGTGCGGGCGAGCTCGTTGGCGTGCGAGCGGGCGCCGGCGGGGTCCAGCATGACGGTGACTCTCTCCTTGTGGATCATCTTGGTCTTGTACGAGAGGGTGGTCTGCAGGTCCTGGGAGCTGACGCCCAAGAAGGCGGCGACAATGGTGAGGACATCCTTGTTCTTGACGGCAGTGACGGTTTGGGCACCCTCGTGGGAGAAACCGCCGCTGTCGTCACCTTGGGCTTGCGTGTCGGACGTCGTCTCGAACTCGAGCTGGCCAATGTGCAGAATCGTGGCCAGAACCTGGCAGATCTCGGCAATCTCGCTGCGAGGGAACTCGAGCTTCTTGAGGGCGTTCTTGAAAACCTGGAACCCTTCGGTGTCGTTGATACCGACCTTGAGCTGGGTGGGGTGACCCAGGTACTTCCACCTCTTTTGAGCAACGCCGGCCGGCGTCTCGAAGCCAAGATGGGCCTTCTCGGCCGCGCTGGTGCCGGCCATCAGGTAGTACAAAACATGAAAGTTACGCTCTCCCGTCGGGATATCCGTGATACGGCTACGCTCGAGTCTGTGGTCGAGGAGCTTGGCACCAATCAGGACCGGGTTGGTCGTGGTAGCCGTGTCATACTGCAGCTCGTAGAACAAACCGGCCTTGGAGGCTGTGGGAGTAGTGGCGGTCTTGGTCGTCGTCAAGGTATCAAAGACGTAGGCGGCCAGAGAGACCTTGGTCGACAGAGGGGTGGAGGACTTGCCGAGGAACGCGGTCAGGAGGTGGGATCGAATGGTTGATTTTCCGGAGCCGGATTCACCCCTATTCACGTTAGCCATGACCTTTGATATTGTCAGAATGTCACATACAAAAAGACGACGGATTGGTTCTCCGATCTGTGACCCAATCTGATCCATGCCCGGTCCGCAATGTCCTCGGCGCCGCCCATGGCGCTTCCCTCCTTGCCGCCATCAGGGCCCTTTGAGGAGGACGTGTAGGTGTTGAGAGAAATGAGGGCGTGAGACGAGAGGCGAGCGGTCGGCAGCGACACATGGAAACGACTGGCCAAGTGTGCCGTTAACTGCGTGTCTGATTGTGAATGTGCGGGTAGCGAGGGTAGAGAAGGTTGAGTGTGAGCGCCTCCGCCGCTCCCACCGATAGGAGGCAGGTTCATCGCCATGTTGGGCACGACGACGCCAACGTCGATGGACTCGAGATACGCGTAGTGTAGTCAATGGCGGGGCTTTTCGAACGAGAGACTTTGGTCAAAGGGGGTTCGATGTTCGTCGTGTAGAAGAGTCTTGAGATGTTGATTAACGGTCAAAGAGCTCAGATTAGTCGTGATAGTAGTAGGTAAACAGGGAGATTGGCCGAAACCCAAACGAAAGGAGATGTACAAATTGCCAGACTAGGAAACGAGTGTGCACGGAGAAGTGAGGAAGAGGAATCGAGGATTCGGAAACGGCAGCGACTTGGGATGGCGAGGCTGAAGGTGGGAAAAGCTCGAGGCACAAAACGAACGAAGTAGTCGCTGGTAAAGTGCTGGCAAAGGTCAAGGACGTCCCGATTTTTCGTGGTCTCTCGCCGTCGACGGTCTCCCTCACTCTCTCTTCTCTACACAGTACACAGTATGGTAAGGGAGCGTAACCGGGGGGAGGGGGGTGGGCAACGGCAACGGGCACCAGGAAAGGGGATTGTTTTCTTTGGGTACCAAAAGTGCTGCTCTCACGCGAATAGTGATCCGGCGGGCGACACGAACACGAGACGCACGACTCGTCCATACGAACTCTGTGCCACAGCACCACCCACACACTGTGGGCTGTTGAGAAGCCCGAAGAGTCGACATCAGCTGCCTGAAGCATTGCCTCCCGTCTGTATGGACAGCTGTGGCCTCGAGGGGTGTCGCCGGCGAAGACGAAATTGACAGACCCCTCCCCCCTGCTCGAATTTCTTCTCGATTTTTCCCCCTTCCTTTTTTCCCTGATCTCGGTTCTCATCGCGGAAGCCACATTACACTGTATCCCCCTGTACCCGTCATTTCCTCCGCGGGACTTCTATATTCCTTGCGTTCCCCTGTATTTTCAGCGGTCCTGTGCGGGGTCTCTTGAGCTTGTTCGACATGGAGCACGTTCTGTGCAATGATGCTTGTTGTGTTGCGCGAGGGCGACGATACTCGGTATGACACCAGGCTGCAAACGTGTCTATATACTGCGCAGTCAGATCATTAGGAGACGAGAATTCAGGAGACCGATCATCATCAGGGTAATAACCGCGCTCCAAGGGTTGGTCCAAAGGCTGCAAGTGGTCTCCGCATATTCTCATAAACCTTGAAGACGCGACTTGGCAGCCTGGCTGTGACAACATTGAGCGGGCTTCGGTACCAGGGGCGAGTGCCAGTGGTTCTGCTGAGAATGCAGAGCTGGCACTGGCCAGGGTCCGTCCAGCATGAAGAATGCACGCGTCTCGCATCACGATGTGTATTTCGCTTCTCTCCTAGTTCCGAGTTGATGCCAAGAGCATAATAACAGCCCTCTACTTCATCCCCAACGGGTAGCATTGAATCGTAGAAGCAGACGCGAAAAGTGTGGTCGAAACAACAGATCAAGGTCCGCTCTGCCGGAAGTCTGTTCAACAATCCCTAAACCTTGTGGTGGCTGTTAGCGGACGGATTGGTGCGGTGGCGCCCCAACATTGTGCTTCTCCGCGAATACCGGTGCCTTGGGCAGCCATCTTGAACAGTACACAGCTGCTGTGCTACGGATCCGTTGACGGGGGACCTGCTGGCACCGGGGCGCCATGAGGGATCGTCTCACACTCAACGGCGCCATGTTATTCACTGCCACTTGGACGTTGGCGCTGGCCGACGGTTTCCAGCGCGCCGCTAGACTCTCGTCCTCCCGATGGGCGTAGCAAACGGAGGGCGCGGACTGGGTGCTGCATCCATGTCAGCCGATGGGAGCGCTGATATAACACAAAAAGGACAAGCAGACCAAAGACGCTGAGGCCGTTGCGTTCCAGCGGCCAGTGCCTGAAGATCGGCTTCCCTTCAGATCCTGTGATGGCTCAAGGGAGAGCCAACGGGTCGACTCCGCGCGGGCGAGATTGGTTGATCGGACCGGTGCGTGGAGAGAAATGTTGTCATCAATGATGCTGTTGACCCGGCGTCTCGAGGAATGCAGCGTGTAATTGCGTCTCATCCCTATTCTGGGACAATGTGGTTCGGGTCTCGCAGAATTCTTTGTTTACACGGCTGTGGCTGAGGGACCATCGACAGCACTTTAGAATGTAGTGCAAGCCGTTTGAGTTTGGATATCGAGCATGATGCATGATTGATGAGCAGGATTTTGCGGTTCATCCATGATGTTAGGATGGCAGGCGGCAGACGGTCCAAGCCGCGCATGTGCCTGTGGTCCGGGGCGGCAGACGTGGAGGAGGCGGGCTGATTACCTCGAATTGTCGACGTCTCAATTAGAGAAGAGAATTGTGGACGTGTGGATGGGACGGGAGGTACTTCCGAGAGGTACATGTACGTACAGTGCGAACACTGCACATCAATTGTGCCGCTGCGTTCCCCGGGGTGTCGGTGCTTACGGATCCGAGGGAACGTACCTGCTCATCGACGACCTCATCATCCTGTTGCAACTTACAACTTACTGACAATTGTAGTCTCAACACTCCCGGAGGCTGGACATGCAGGGCGAGACACTCCATGAAGAACCAGTGAGCCGCCAGAGAAAATTCAGCAAGGAAAGAAAAGAAAAAGGGGGCACCGATGCAGATTGCAGAAGCATGGGGATCAAACCATTGGATCTGAAAGCAGCCGGCGAGTTCCCATCGGCCGCTAAAAGGTCCAAAAAAAGACCTGCAGCACATGATAATGGGGTTCATGGTTCCTTGCGGGCATAGCGTGTGTCCATAAATCAAGGTAAAGCAGAAAACCCTGTGTTTGGCGGGAACATAAAAATTGCACACTCACACGCTCCATAGAGGAAAAAACAACTATTCGGCGCTCGAGGGCACAGCCTCACGCCGAGACTCCATCATGCCAGTCATTCAAACCAACCACCAACCACTCCGCTCCATTCAGCCAAGCCAAATCCGACCCTCTCCTCTCCGCTGACCAATGGCTCAGTTTCCATGATCATGCTGTCAGCAACAGACACGAAGGTCGCGGGTCACACTCGAGTCTTGCTGCTCTCGCACCCGCCATCGCGGCTCCGCTCGAGGTGGCCCTGTCAGCGGCAATTGGCGATAACAACAAAGATGCTCTCACTGCTCAGTGCCTCAATACGAACAACACCAAAATGCACCGCCCTCCATCTATCCTCTGTGTACGAAGTAGATGCACAGCTCCATTAGTCTGCCGCGAGAGTTGCTGCACCCGCCACCACATTGCAGGCAAAATCGGACGCTTACGACGTCGTGCTCAAAGCTTATGCATGATCACAACACAATTCCATCACGGTCGCCATGACCGAGTCAATAGATGCACCTGCGTGGATCCGATAGAGTATTGCCGGCACCAGCAACATCTCTCAGGGGAGCACAATACTACTACACAGCAGGCTCTACGCTGCAGCACGCCGTGATGCCATTGCTAGCATCAACTTTTGGATGAAATCCTGCTTGGCCTTGCAGACGCTTGGAAAACACCCGCTCTCGCGTCGGCATGCACTTCCTCTCTCAGCAGTGAGCAACAGTGGCATCTTATGCACCAAATGGCAAACGGTGCGATCGGATGGGTGGGCCGACTCTCGTCTCCATGGGCTCGTATTTGTTCCAAGAAAAGGACTGCCCGCGGCCAGATCTACAGTCATTGCCAGGCTAGCCGGGGCTTTCGTTGGCCACCACAGGATGCGCGACTGACGACTGTGGACTCGTGGAGACGGGCTCTTGGGGGCCTTTCTAGCTGGATCCTGATCACCGGGGGTGGTTGGCACTTGGATCCACGTCGTTTTCCTTTGGGTTCGAATCTGGTTTTGGCCGTGTTGCACCTCTGTCTCTGTTCAAGTATCGATGGAGCCAAGCCTCGTCCTGGTGTTCCATGCTGACGAGCTTCCTAGATCTCACTTGAGCATCAGCCATCAGGCCAGCTCCAGCCTCATAGTCAGCGTCCGTCGTGAAGCAGTCCTCGAGGAGCTGAAGCGTGCTTAGGAACGATATTCTTACAGTGCGAAGCAGCCCTGAGCCTCCAGCCGAACGGTCTGCTCCAGGTATTCCACCGTGGTGCAAGGTACATGCGGTCGGGCTAAGTTTAGGGACCCGAGCTTGACGGCAACGTCGCCAGGGTTCCCCTTCTGATGGCAAAAATTTGGCCGGGGGCCTCTGGACTGAGACTATGCGTCTTTGGTCCGTCTCGCCCGCCCCAGTTCAGGGGTCAACACAAGGAAGCCCAGAGGAAAGGACAAGAGAGGGAGGAACAATGCACACACACGTTCGAATCCATACTGTATTTTTGGACCTGGCCATGGAAGCTACAGAGGCTGGTGGTGTGTTGATGATCCCTCGACCCAGGTATCTATTCCTACTGTGTTCGTGAGACCGGTACTTCGGGCAGTACGAAAAGAAGCATCTTCTATCCATCGTTACGAGACCCACGCTCCAGGTCTTCCGCCTTGTCTGAGCTGTGTGTCTGCCGTCTGTGCCTGTTAGCTACGTTACCTATTAGCGGACGCTCGTTTGCCAGACACTCCGGGACCTGTGTAGAGAGAAAATAGGTCATTCTCTGTCTCTGAGTGTCTCCCCCCCTTTCACTCGCCGCTTTCTTCTTACTCGACACTCGATTTTGAAAGTGTCCGAGAGACTATTCAGCCCTTCTTCCTCTCAAACCTCTTTCCTATACAGACGCCTCACTCGTTTTGGTGGTCTGCCTACTCTATCGCTAATTTGTTACACATCCTCTTCCTTTTAATTTTGCCTTTGCTTGTTGATCGCCATATTTGCGTTTTGCAAGAGAGGAGAAAGAAAGGGAGAGAATCCAGCTGCAGCCTCATCACACACACCACCAACCCGCGTTGCTCAGTCGACAAATCGTGCAGGAAATACGCCTCTTTTTGCTACCTACAACCTTAATCATCACACCCTTCTAGACACTCGCTTCACTGAACGACTTTCTCGACTTCCTTCTCAATTCTTACCCATTGACGACAGTCCTCATCGTCTTGTTTACCTCGAGCTAGACGACATCACCGACTTCGAATAGCGTCTCGTCCGTCGACGTGTTTGTCCGCGCCGGACATCACGAACCCAATCCCATCACCATGGCGAGCGGACGCATGTCCATGTACTCGGTGGCCTCCGAGGGCATGGGAGGTCCTCGTGCCGGCCAACAACCCTCGCAGTTTTCCACCACGACCCTCCTCAACGCCATTCACAATATTTACCTGTCATCCCAACCCTTCAAGTTGGACGCTGGCTCCAGCCTTGTCGTAAACACATGGCTCACCGCAGCACAGGCCGGACCGGACGGAAGAACAGGAGGCACCATAGATCCTGCCCTCGGTGCCAGGGCATGGGAACATGCTCGCCGCCGTGCTGAGGATGGCTGTATCATTCTTGGGTAGGCTTCAAACCCCAATCAACAGACAACAATTGCTAATGCTGCTTAGTTCCCTTCACACATCGAGCCCCTCGGTCCTCACGCCTTTCCTCTCATCTCTGCCGCTCAACATCCCGTCATCCGTCTACAGGTCACTCGAGGCCATCCAGCCTTTCCTGAGATGCTCCACCCCCTACAACCCCTCTGCTTCCAGACAGTCTGCCCTCGGCGTCACCTTGACGCTCAACTTGGCCGGTAACTTCCAGGGAGCCGCCATCGCCCTGTCTCAGGGCGGCATCGATACCGCAAAGGGCCTGCTCAACATTCCCTCTGAACCGGGGTACCGCGCCTTTGACGTCTTTTACTACCTATTGACGTCGGTCTCTACGCCCGCCGAGAGAGAGTTCTTGGGCCTCAAGCCCGCCTCCAGCTATGCCCTGCTTGCGAGATCCGGCACATACGACCCGCCCTCGTACCTCCCCACGGCTGACGATGCCGCTGCTGCCGATGACTTTAGGACCGCCCTCAAGGACATTGGCATCAAGGGTTCTGCGTACCGCAACCTCATCTCTACCCTCGCCGGCCTGCTCAAGCTCGGCGACACGCTCGACTACAACCTGGACGAGGACGTGTTTGACGAAATCTGCGAGGATGTGAGCGGCCTGCTGGGCATGGATCCCGAGACCCTTGCCACGCAGTGTACAACGCAGGACCGGTCAACGCTGGTTGGCGGTCTGTACGAGGCGTTGGTCGACTGGGTCATATCCAAGGCCAACCAGGCGATCTCCGCGCAGATGGCACGTATCAGAGACGGTACCGAGTCCATCGCAGGTGGTGCCCGCACGCCCACTTCCAACGGCGACGGCGATACCGTCTGCATCACCATCTTGGATGTCCCCGACCCAACCCTGGGCAAAGCCTTGACCATGCGTGGCATCTTTGACGACACCGTGGGCATCAACTCGGAGATGATTGCTGACGGCATCGAGGCGTCTCCCGCCGGCAGCACCGTCGTGCGTGAGATGCAGACGGCCATTGCGGAAGTTGGCCACGAGCTTGGCATCATGTCTGGCGCCGCCGGCAAGGACCGCCAGCACGCGCTCGAGAAGCGTGAAGAGGTTCTCGAGAAGATTGGACACTCTGCCGATGACGACGCGTTCCTCAAGAAGCTGCTCTTCCCGGTCTCCGGCCAGGGCATCAACCTCGGAGTTGCTGGACGTCTCGAGCTCGCAACGCTTCTCAGCTCCAGCCGCGTGTGGTACCACCTCTCGATCCACCCCACCGACGACTCTCCCGCCAGCTTGGCTGCTTTGCCTTCCGTCAACTCAGCCTGGTCAGCTGGCACTGTCTCCCGCCAGCTCCGTTCCTGGAGGCTGCCCGAGTGGGCCAACAGGCGAAACAAGAACCTGGATTTCACCGCTGATTTCGACATTGACGAGTTTGTCCAGCGATACGCTGCGTTGGGCTGCCAAGACGGCCGCGAGGGCATCGAGACGTGGATCCTCGAGCGCGGATGGACCAACGGCGAGGTCATTGTCGGTAAGGAGCGTGTGTGGACACGTGAGAGCGCTTGGTGGGAGGCGGAGAGCATGCTCGACATGAAGCCCCTCGATAACAACCTCCCCGGCATGGGCAATGTCCTGGCCGTGAACAACCTCGAATCAGGCTACTCGGCAAACGGCAGCGGCTACTTCCCAACGCCCATGCTGGACACGACACCCAACGGAAGCCGTGATCACCTCATTGCCCACCAGCGCAATGCCAGCCAGGGCAACCTCTCCCAACACACCCTCGCTCACAATGCCGCGATGCGTGCTCCTTCCGTAGCTCCTTCGGGCATGCGTCCCGCGCAGAACGGAGACTATGGTCTCGGCACCAAGGGTGACACCTACAAGGGCCAAGTCTTTTACAACAACGAGGGCGAGTTTGTCGGCCAGATGGACCCCGAAATTGCTGACGGCAAGCACGTCGAGGAGAAGACCATGGACAAGGACCGCCGTCTCTGGGTTGCCATTGTGTGGTTCTGGACCTTTTGGATCCCCTCGCCCGCGCTGCGCCTCATCGGCCGCATGAAGCGTCCCGACGTGCGCATGGCCTGGCGTGAAAAGTTCACCTTGGTCTGGTTCATCGTGCTCATCAACGCTGCTATTGTTTTCTGGATTATCGGGTTCGGCAAGCTCCTGTGTCCCAACTTTGATAAGGCCTGGGATAGCACGGAAGTCGGCACGCACCAGGGCGAGACGGATTTCTACGTTAGCTTCCGCGGTGGCGTGTACGATGTCTCCAAGTTCTGGAAGACGCAGCACTCCGATACCAACATTGAGACGACCAAGGCCAACATGATTCAATTCGCCGGATTGGACATGGACGACTACTTCCCGCCTCCCCTTACTCTGGTGTGCCCCGGTCTCGGAATCGCCTCGTCCACCGCACTCCAGGCCAACACCACCCCCGAGTACACCATTGGTATCCACAAGTCTGGCTCTCTGGCCGATGACCGTACGAGCGCGCTCGGCGACTCTGATTGGTACAGCAAGAAGCTGCTGCCGCGCATGAAGGAGTTTTACAAGGGCGATCTCGTCTGGGACAAGGGCGACGTCAAGTCGGACGGCCAAGACAACAGCCACATGTGGGTGATTTACAACGGCGGCGTCTACGACTTTACAAACTACTACCACACCCAAGACGTCTTCAAGCAGGTCGACACGTACAAGTTCCTTAACACCAAGATGATGAGCGCTGTCGAGAACAACCCGGGTGAAGACATTACCGACAACTGGAACACCATCATCAAGGCCGCCGCCAGCAACTCGACCGAGAACACCAGCGTCCAGAACAGTCTCAACTGCGCAAAGAATTTGTTCTATAAGGGTATTCCAGACTTCCGCTACTCCGCTAGGTGTCAGGTCAACAACTACATCATGTTGGCCATGACGATTATTCTCTGCGCCGTCATTCTCATCAAGTTCTTGGCTGCTCTGCAGTTCGGTTCCAAGCGTCGCCCCGCTCCTCAAGACAAGTTTGTTATTTGCCAAGTGCCGGCCTATACCGAAGGCGAAGACTCGCTGCGAAAGGCGCTTGACTCTTTGACGGCCCTTCAGTACGACAACAAGCGCAAGCTCATCTGCGTCATTTGCGACGGTGTCATTGTCGGTGAAGGCAACGATCGTCCTACCCCCAAGATTGTCCTGGATATCCTCGGCGTAGACCCCAAGGTTGACCCGCCCGCGCTGCCCTTCAAGTCTGTCGGCACGGGCAGCGAGCAACTCAACTACGGCAAGGTATACTCTGGTCTGTACGAATTCGAAGGCAACGTCGTCCCCTACCTCGTCATTGTCAAGTGCGGCAAGGAATCCGAGCAGAGCAAGGCCAAGCCCGGTAACAGAGGCAAGCGTGACTCCCAGATTCTGCTGATGAGCTTCCTCAACCGCGTCCACCACCGTTCTCCCATGTCCCCGCTCGAGCTGGAAATGTTCCACCAGATCAACAACATCATCGGCGTGGACCCCGAGCTGTATGAATATCTCATGATGATTGACGCCGATACCTGTGTCCGGGAAGACTCGCTCAACAGACTGGTTTCCGCCTGTGCCAACGACGCCAAGATTGCCGGTATCTGCGGTGAGACTGGTCTGCAAAACGATGACAAGACCTGGTGGACCATGATTCAAGTCTACGAGTACTTCATCTCCCACAACCTGGCCAAGGCTTTCGAGTCTCTCTTCGGATCCGTCACATGTTTGCCTGGATGGTATGTACCCTCACTTCTCACTTGCAGGACCAAGCTAACCAGTCAGTTTCACAATGTACCGTCTGCGCACCGTCGACAAGGGCAAGCCGCTCATTATCTCGGACAACATCATCCGCGACTATGCCGTGTGTGACGTCGACACCCTCCACAAGAAGAACCTGCTGTCTCTTGGTGAGGATCGTTACCTGACGACGCTCATGACCAAGTACTTCCCGTCCATGAAGTTCAAGTTCATCCCCGACGCGTACTGCCAGACTGCCGCCCCCGAGTCGTGGAGCGTTCTGCTGTCCCAACGTCGTCGCTGGATCAACTCCACCATCCACAACCTGTTTGAACTGATGAAGCTCAAGGAGATGTGCGGTTTCTGCTGCTTCAGCATGCGCTTCATCGTCTTTATTGATCTCTTTGGTACCATTATCCTCCCGGCGACGACCTTCTACCTCGGCTACCTCATCTACCTCGTAGCCAGTAGGACCGGACAATTCCCCATGATTTCCATCATTATGCTCGCCGCGGTGTACGGTCTCCAAGCCCTCATCTTTATCCTGAAACGGCAGTGGCAGCACATCGGATGGATGATCATCTACATTCTCGCCTTCCCCATCTACAACTTTGCGCTCCCCATTTACTCCTTCTGGAACCAGGACAACTTCTCGTGGGGTAACACGCGTATCGTCATTGGAGAAAAGGGCATGAAGAAGCTCATCGCCGTGGACGACGAAGGCTTCGACCCCCGCAGCATCCCGCTCCAGCGCTGGGACGACTACGCCATGATGAACAACCTCCCCGGCCGCCGCGGCGGCTACATGGAGAAGGCCGACATGGGCTACGACGACCAGTACGAGATGGACGAGATCCGCTCCGTCTACTCGTCCGTCCGCCAGGGCTCCGTCCTCACGGGCATGAACCGCAACAACCACTACGTCCCGCCCCAGTCGCCCGCGCCGTTTGGCGGCATGGCCCGCGCCTCGGGCGCCACGAGCCCCTACCACCAGGACCAGCACATGGCCAACCGCCAGTCCATGGTCTCGCTCGGCGCCCACGACATCCACCGCGGCCAGACGCCCTACCAGGACTTCCCCAGCAGCCGCCCGAGCGTCTCCAACCTCCGCGGCCAGGCCAGCGTCTCCCCCGGTCTTGGCGTCGGCAACAACCGCTCGCAGTCGGCCCTCGGCATCAACCGCCAGCAGGCCGGCGCCGCGCAGTCGACGTCGTCCTTCGACTTCCAGCGCGGCAACATGCAAGGACCCGACGACGGCATGATCATTGACGCCATCCAGGGCGTTCTGCGCGAGGTCGACCTCGACACGGTGACAAAGAAGCAAGTCCGCGCGCTCGTCGAGCAGAGGCTGCAGACGGGACTCGTCGGCGAGAGGAGGACGTTTATGGACAGACAGATTGACAACGAGCTGGCCAACATGTAGACTGTGTACGTGTATCGGCATCTTAACGGCAAATCGTACATAACACGGGCCAGCTTTCATCTCTGTCGTATCATGAGGGCATTTTAAAACAAAAACTGGGGGCGTTGCGAATCTAGGGGCATGTCTTGGATACAAATCTTGTTTACAATGTTTCTTTCTCTTTATTTGGGGGCATATCGTAGTTCTTTGGCGCCACATTCGCGGATGGCTTCCACCGGATAATACATCTCCTAGTAGTTCAAATTAATCTTTATGAGACAATGGACCTTCATTATGAATCGTGTGAACTGGATTTTATTTTCACTCCTGTCTACTCATGTTCTCCGCTCCTGAATCTTGCCAACGCCGTTGAGCCGCAGGTAGACATCGGTGCCCCAGCCGTACAAGCTCTGCACAGCAATCCCACCGCCAAAGTACTCGGCGTACGCCCGACTCAGCGGCAGACCGTACCCGAGACCCGCAATCGAGCTCCCACCAGCGCTCGCGCTAGAAATCACATTTAGGCCACCATCATCGGACCCGGGAAACTCGTCGTCATCGGAAAAGGTGGTGAAGGAGTAGGACCAGATGTTGGGTAGTACCTCGGGGGAGATGCCGCCGCCGCGGTCGCGGATGCGAATCGTCACGCCGGGGACATTATCCTCGAGCGGCTTGATGGCGTCGCTCCTGAACCCGCCGCGCGTCTCCTTGGGCACTTCAATCTTGAGGTGCTGGTTTGGTCGGGGCGGCTCCGGGGCGATTGTGACGACGATGGGCTCCTTGTTATCCCTGGCTTCCACGGTGGCTCGGAAGGCATTCTTGAGGAGTTCGGTGACGATGTATTCGAGGTGCATCGGTATAAACGCAAACGTGGTGTCGGGCTCGCCGTCGATGACGAGCTGCGGCCGTACGCCGTACCGCAGCTCGCAAATATCCGCCACGAAGCCGGCACAGGACTCAATGATGTGGGCCGGCTTGAGGGCCGTGTCGATGACGCCAATGTAGCTGGGCTGCTCCGGGCACGGGGTCGGGCTGGCCTGGGGGTCAAAGTGAGGCTGGGAGCTGTAGTGCAGGGCAATGTGCTGCTCGGCGACGAGGCGAGTGCCGATGCGGGCGCGGAGGTGCTCGTCGAGGAAGCGGGTAACCTCTTGCGGAGAGATGTAGCGGCGGCACTCGAGGAAGCCACGGGCGAGGATGGGGATTGTGTCGGTGTGGGTTGCCACGAGCTCGGCGAGGACCTCTGTGAAGCGTATCTCGTCGTCGAGGGTGCGGACAGCGCTATCGCCGCCCTTTGTCCACCAGGGGAGGAGGGTTGAGAGGGAGTGAACGTAGTTGTTGTAGATGCGGCTGATGTTGGGGTTGGAGACGACAATATAGGGTAGGTTGCGGAGGGCCTGGATGCGGTGGGCGAGGCGGATCGGGAGGAGGGAGAGGGTGAAGTTGGCCGAGGATAGCAAGGACTTTTCGCTCAGAGGAGGGCGGCCGTGTCTTTCGATGTTAGTGCCTGGATTGACATTCGAGATTCAAAGAGTGTAAGTACTTGACCAGGTCGGTGAGGCTCAAGGGATGCTGCGTCTTGTTGGCGAGCTGGACAATCTCGTGGTCGTCGACGCGGGACAGGTGGTGAGAGGAGCCATGGCGGTGACTGTGACGGTGACCGTGCCGAGAGGAAGAGAGCAGACGAGTGTTTGAAGGAGTATGGAGTTGTGCGAGTATCCTCTGGGGCGTCTTGGGCCTCAATGGTCTCGCTATGGGTATCATGGCGGCATTGTCGATGTTGCAAAGAGGAGTGATACGGTCAAGGGGAAATCCGTTGGGGGAGGAGGTTTCTGGTGCAACAGGCAGTAACAGCAGCAGCAGCAGCGGAAAGAGCATGAGATCATACGCTTTGGGACCTTAGCGCGTGGTTTGTGCACTGTCCTTTTTGTGGGGTTCCCAGTGGCTACCGACGGCCCCTGGGTGAGGTGGTCCGGGCTCTCCATGAGCCCCGCGCCGGGGGTGGTGAGACACTTGGACCTCTGTCGGCGGGGGCCGATTCCAAGCGCTTGATGCTGTTACGGAAGGTACCTCGTTTGTATGGATGAGGACCTTTATGGCAAAAAAGAACATGTTTGCCTAGCTGCCCTGACGAGGCAAGTTGCTACGAGCCAAGCGTCACAAACAATAAAACTAGTAAAGGAAGTGAAGCGTAAACCATCAAGAATCTCGTGAGTCTAAGGTATGTAGTGGATCAAGTACAGCTTGCCAGCCCCTCGCTCGCGATACATCCCTCTATTGCGTCTTGACCTCCTGGTCCTTCTCGACGTGCTTGACGTGCTCGTGGCTCTCCAGAGTTGAGATCTGGTCCTCGGGGAACTCGACGCTGTAGTTGGTAAGTCATCTGTACTGCTGAGGGACATGGGGGAGAGCGTACGAGAAACCCTTGATCAGGCTGTACTCGTGGCCAATCTTTCCTCCCTGGTCGGTGGCGTGCTTCTTGGCACTGGTCTGCTGTTAGTTCTTAGATCTGTATCGTCGTGGAAGAGAAGACTTACGCCGCGACCTGGTCGGCGGAGGCATCCTCCTTGCAGGTGACCTGGGAGAGGTTAGCTTGCTGGACGGTGACGGTGGTATTCAGTGTAAAGGAGCTGTATTCACAATGTAGGTAGGCATTCTGATGGATGTGGTTGGGTTTGTATGGTGGGAGTTGTAGTCTGTGGTTGTGCAAGAGCGAGGTTGAAGTTGACAAGCTCCCAGGTTGGACATAGGCCGGCAGAGTCTCTTTATAACCAAGCCGGCAGGACTCATGCCTGCCCGGTTTGCTAAGGGATGTGCTACCTTCCAGACGGTACACACCAGTGACAGTGACGGGATGGGTGTGGGAACTCGAGGTGGGCTGCCTACTGCGTACAGCCGGGAACTAACAGTGACGCGGAAAAGGTTCGTGGGTGGCCCAGCGAGTGGAGGGAAAGGTCCATGCAACCACAGCAACTACCTATCTGCTGCCCTGGACCGCGTGGGTGTGGACGCCTGTGTGGTACGTAAAGCATTGGATGGCACCAGCATCTGCTTGCTTCCTACTGTTCAGCAATTGCTCCCCTTATGCACACGCAATACGTCATCCCACCTTTGCGCGCCTCTTGAGCCGAGATGGTCGCCTCCATCTGCCTGCCAGACAACCAACAAGTTATCCCTCAGAGGCATCTATGGCGCATAGAGCGCATCCACAACACGACCGACGTGCACAGCCGAGATAAGACGCGAAAAGACTGACCAGATCTGGCGCCTCATGCATCTCGTTTCTTCACGCATCATCCTGCCGGTGCGCGCAGAGGATTGCGGAGCCTTGGATTGTCTTGTGACTTGGCCCAGAAACCAATCAATGCGTCCCCGGCCATCTCTCACCATCTCCCACCACCGGGTCGTCATCGCCATGCCGTCATTGCTGACCTAACCCTCTGCCTCCGTTGCTCTACCTTTTCGATGTACCTCTGTTCGTAACTCAAGGTACCGGTATGCATGAGTCCTTGCCAACTTCGTGTCGTATACCACCACCTCCTCATCCAACGTGGTCCATGACATTCCACAAAACACCTAGATACAATAAAACATTGAAGAACCGGAATCGTAAAGACATCATCGTGTAAAGACCATGCCGCAAACTGTGATCCCATATCGTGGGGTCGGCTCAACGACGATCTCCGAGGGAGGGGCACAGAGGGGTAACACGAGGAAGTGGGGGCGCATACTATCTTATCGATAGACAGATTAGATAAGTCAGACCCGCAACAAATTTTTGATCGATAGCAGTCGAGTCGCGAAGCGCTGCGACGAAAGAAAAAAAAACCCAAGGCCCGTCTTTCGTCGTGTAGCTGCAGGACCTCCCAACATCTTTGGGCAACGCCGTCATGGAGGACCAAGTACACAAGCCTCACCGCAAGGCGAAGGACAAGAAGGGGAAGCAAAACACTGGGGGTGAGTCTTCTGTACTTATGACCACCCGCCAATTCGAATACTGACGAGCGCGCAGAGAAGAACCCAAAGGCCTTTGCCTTTTCTAACCCCGGAAAGCTTGCCAGGTCGGCCGCGAGATCTTCAGATGTGCGGCCCTTCCTCGTGCTCACATAGCATACCAGCAACTGACTTGTACCTTTACAGATCAAAGAACGACGCTTCCATGTCCCGCAAGTCGACCGCCTCCCCGACGAGCCGCCACCGAGGCTGGTCACCATCGTGGGACCGCCCGGTGTCGGCAAGACGACCCTCCTCAAGTCCCTGATCCGACGATACGCAAAGGAGACCGTGTCCGACCCCCAAGGCCCCATCACCGTCGTCACCTCCAAGAAGCAGCGGTTGACCTTTGTCGAGTGCCCCAATGAGCTCGAGGCCATGGTCGACATGGCCAAGATCGCCGACATTGTCCTTCTCATGATTGACGGCAACTACGGATTCGAGATGGAGACGATGGAGTTCCTCAACATCCTCGCCGCCACCGGTATGCCCGGCAACGTCTTTGGCATCCTCACGCATCTTGACCTGTTCCGGAAACCCCAGGCGCTGAGGGACGCCAAGAAGCGACTCAAGAAGAGGCTGTGGAGCGAGCTGTACGCCGGCGCTCACCTGTTCTACCTCTCTGGTGTCATGAACGGACGTTACCCCGACCGCGAAATCCACAACCTCTCCCGTTTCCTGTCCGTTATGAAGAATCCGCGCCCCCTAATCTGGAGAAACTCCCACCCGTACACCATCATCGACAGCTACCGAGACATCACGCATCCCACAAAGATTGAGGAGGACCCCATGTGCGACCGGTCGATCGTGTTGTCGGGATACCTGCGCGGCACCAACATGACGCAGCAGGGGCAAAGAGTTCACGTTCCGGGACTGGGCGACTTTACCGTGGCGAACCTCGAGGTCATGCCCGACCCGTGCCCGACACCCGCCATGGAACAGGCCCTCGCCAAGGTCACCGGCAAGACGACACGACGACGCCTGGATGAGAAGGAGAAGAAGCTCTACGCCCCCATGTCCGACCGCAGCGGTCTCAAGATTGACGGCGACGCCATCTGGATCACGAGGGAAAAGGGTTTCACGCTCGACAAGGACGCCGAGGACGGCGACCGCGGCGAGGGCGAGGAGCTCATCGTGGGACTCCAGGGCGAGCGGAAGCTGCTGGGCCAGACCGAGGAGGGCGTGCAGCTCTTCCGGGGAGGCGAGCAGCTGAAGCAGGTGGCCGAGGAGGAGGACACGGGCAGAAAGACGCAGCGCCACGCACGCTTCGCAGACCGCGACGAGGAATCCGACGCCGAGATGGACGACGACGAGGGGTTCGTTAGCGGGGAAGACGAGGGCGAGTCCGACGTGGAAGAGGAGTTCAACGAGGGCAAGCTGGGCAAGATGTTCCGGAAAACCGCCGACAAGGACGCCCAAGAGGACGACATTGCCTTTGCCGACAGCGACTCGGACCTCGGCTCAATATCGGGACTCGAAGACGAAGATGAGGACTCGGAAGAGGACATGGACGACGAGGACTTTGACTCAGACGAGGAGGCGGCGGCCATGAAGTGGAAGGAGAACATGGCAGAGCGCGCAAAGAAGCTCCACGGCAAGCGACGCTCGTACCACACACCGGACCTGGCCAGGTTCATGTACGACGAGAAGCTGTCGCCCGACGAAGCGCTGCAAAAGTGGCGGGGCGAGGATCCGGAAGAAGAAGACATCGAAGCGGACGAGGACGACGACTTTTTCCAAAAGTCCAAGCAGGACAAGGAGGACAAGGTCGAGGACAGATCGATACCCGTGTACGACTACCAAGATCTGGCAGCGAAGTGGTCGCAGGCGGCGGCCGTCGAGGCTCTGCGGAAGCGCTTCACCACGGCGGGCATGCGTGACGACGACGGGGATGACGATGACGAGTTTGACGGCATCGACGATGATGAGGAGGACGAGGACGATGAAGGTGACGGTGTCTTTGAGGACCTCGAGACGGGCGAGCAGCACGGAGGGGACGCGGAGGAACCCACAGAGGAAGAAGCGTTCGTCACGGAGCGTGAAAAGAACGCGAAGCGCAAGGAGGAGCTCAAGCTACGCTTCGAAGAGGAAGACCGCGAGGGTTTCATGAACGACAAAGCCAACGCCAGGCGGGAAGGCGCGGCAGGCGACCAGGAGTTCGGCGAGGACGACTGGTACGAGGCGCAAAAGGCCGTCATCCAGAAGCAGCTCGACATCAACAAGGCCGAGTTCGAGACGCTGGACGAGCGGCAGCGGGCGGCCGTCGAGGGCTACCGCGCCGGCAAGTACGCAAAGATTGTGCTCGAGGGCGTCCCGGCCGAGTTTGTCGAAAAGTTCAACCCGCGCAACCCCATCATCATCGGCGGCCTGTCCCCGACCGAGGACCGCTTCGGCTTCGTCCAGGTGCGCATTAAGAAGCACCGCTGGCACAAGAAGATTCTCAAGTCCAACGACCCCTTGATCTTCTCCCTTGGCTGGCGTCGCTTCCAGACCATGCCCATCTACAGCACCTCGGACTCGCGGACGAGGAACCGCATGCTAAAGTACACACCCGAGCACACGCACTGCTTCGCGACCGTCTACGGCCCGCTCATCGCGCCCAGCACGGGTTTCGTCTGCTTCAACTCCTTCTCGCCCGAGAACCCGGGCTTCCGCATCGCGGCGACCGGCACCGTCCTCAGCGTCGACGAGTCGACCGAGATTGTCAAGAAGCTCAAGCTCACGGGTACCGCCGACAAGATCCACAAGAACACGGCCTTCATCAAGGGCATGTTCAACACGGCGCTCGAAATCGCCAAGTTCGAGGGCGCCGCCATCAAGACCGTCTCGGGCGTCCGCGGTCAGATCAAGCGCGCCCTGTCCAAGCCCGAAGGCCACTTCCGCGCCACGTTCGAGGACAAGATCCTCTACAGCGACATCGTCTTCCTCCGCGCCTGGTACCCGATCAAGCCCCACCGTTTCTACAACCCAGTCACCAACCTCGTCGGGTGGCAGGCGATGCGTCTTACCGGCCAAGTCCGCCGCGACGAAGGCATCGACACGCCCCTCGAGAAGAACAGCCAGTACCGCAAGATCGAGCGCCAGACGCGGCACTTCAACCCCCTCAGAGTCCCGCGCGCCCTGGCCGCCGAGCTGCCCTTCAAGTCGCAAATCGTGCAGCAGCGCAAGCAGAAGAAGGAGACGTACATGCAGAAGCGCGCCGTGGTGCTCAACAAGGAGGAGAAGACGGCGCGCAACCTGCTGCAGCAGCTGTCGACGATCCGCAACGACAAGGTCGCCAAGCGCGCCGCCAAGAAGGAGGAGAAGCGCGCAGAGTACCGCAAGAAGATTGCCGACTCGGACGAGAAGAAGGAGGCGCGGGAGAAGAAGGAGAGCAAGGAGTTTTGGCGCAAGAACGGGCGGAAGCGCCAGGCGGCTGACGATGGAGGCGGTGGTGGCGGACAGAAGCGCAGCAGAAAGTAAATGTTCGGAACACGGAAAACGGGAGACTAAAAAGCAAGTAAGAGAGAGAGAGACAGAGTATGTGTAATCAAGGGCGCTTGGCTGTCATTTGCATTAGACGGCGCAGGCTGTGAAGCCTCTCAGTAGGGTATCTAACTTCAAAATCATTTCCTTGATACGTGCCCGTCGCTTGTGTCTAGTTGCGCCTTGTTTTCTTCGTATACCACCAAGCCTCTGATGGCTATTGGGAGGACCTCGCTTCACAGTGATTACGAGGCCGGTGACTCACGGCACAATACTCAAAGTACTCAGCCTTGGTGACATACGATGCCGGATTCTCCAGGACTCGTCTACCT